GAGGGAGGGAGGGAGCAAGGGAGCGAGGGAGCGAGGGAGCGAGGGAGCGAGGGAGCGAGGGAGGGAGGGAGGGAGGGAGGGGGGAGGGGGAGAGAGACAGCATCGTGCGATGTTAAACTTAGCAGATAGAGACAGCAGGTTGCAGCTCAACGGTTTCTTTCCTGAGCACTACCAGGAACGCTTAAAGATGTACAAGTCGCTACTGAGATGTCTTCACTGCATCTTCACCACCAAGCACTGCCAGATTCCATGATTGCTTGATCCAGACATCCCCAAGATTCCGCTCCAGTGTTCCTATCACCTGTACATGGAGCAAAGATCTGAAGTTTTGGGAGGGCACATGATTGCTAAAGAAGCAGCTCTTGCCTTCAACTAAGTGCATGCTGCATGTGTGTGTGTCAAATGTTCCAACAACTCTACGAAACTCTATATATATATACATACGTAGTATGTGATTACTTGTTTGGAGACCTCCCTTTGGTGAGATCTACGGTGGTAAAACCACCGGCGCCAACTTGCCCCGACCTCACATCAGGGGCGAGCTGGATTACTGGTGTCTTCATGCGAAATTGCAAAAAGAGCTCCGCAGGAGTTCGACTCAAAGCTTCATTGCCGACGGACCTTGCAAACTTTTGAGAGATCCTGGAAACTTTGATTTTGTACCTCTTTCATCCTCTTTCTATGCTTCACAAGGGAATCATCGTGCCACCGTCACGAAAACTTTTTTCTCCCATTCCATCCCTCATAAGTTTTTCTAAGCTTATCAATTTATCAGCTGCCAACACACTGGGCAATTTGTCAATCTTTTTGCAAGGGTCAGCCTGCGCTGCGCTCATCGCGCTCAAACTTGTGGCGGAGGGCCGCCGTGCATGGCTCGCGCACCACGCAACTCCAAAGCCTTCCCGATCTGACAGATGGGGTCCGTATCAATCAATTGGGTACGGCTACAGGTATGTACATATGTACATGTGTATAAATATATGTGTGTGGATGTATCTTTAATTATGCATGTATGTATGTATGTATGTATGTATTTATCTATGTATGTATGTGTGAGTGCGTATGTATATTTTGATGAATATATATATATATATGTATATATATATATATGTATATATATATGTGCGTGTTTATTTATATGTACCTATATATGCATGAATTAAAAATAAATAAGTAAACAAAGAAGTAAATGAATAAATAAATAAACAAACAGATTTAAAAAAAAATAATAAACACATAAATAAATAAATAAATAAATAAACAAAGAAATAAATGAATGAATAAATAAACAAACAAATAGTTTAAAAAAATAAATGGATAAACAAATAAATTTTAAAAAAAAAATATATATATATATATAAACATATATATATGGTCTCGTGTTCCGTGTTCCTACCCCCCAATGGTATGGGTCCCCAGGTCCCTTCTATTTGGCACCTATTGGATCCTATTGGCAGCATGTCTGAAGTCCAGCCTCGTATTTGCTTGGATTTTGCAGCGATTCTGACTACCAGCCTCGCATTTACTAGGTGCATACTACCTTTTAGACGACCTACGTAGCACGCATACTCCCTCAAAGTACCTACGTGCTACCTATAGTCATATATACATGTGCTATGTACCTACTTCCTATATATATATGTGTGTGTGTATTTGTATACACATATTATACATACATACATGTATATACATATATATATACATACACATGTATACATACACATATATTTGTGTATAGATACACACATATGCATATTTATATACATATATATATATATATTTATTTATTTACACACACAGACATCTATACATATGTTCATATACATAGCAATATACACATAAAATTATATATATACACATATAAAAATATATATATATGTATATACTATATATATAATATATATATATATAATATATATATATATATACATATATACACACAGTACCACACCCCCACCACACCACAGGGGGGGGAAGGGGACAGTACCACACCCCCACCACACCACAGGGGGGGGAGGGGGACAGGATTCCATGGTTTTGGTGGGTCAGATCCCCATGTTTGTTGGTTGAATCCCCCTTCTGCTGGTTCAATCCGTATCTTTGGTGGCGTATATAATCTATGTTCGTTGAGAAATTTCGCTGGTTAGGCCGACATACTTTTAGCGAGTTAAATTCCGATTCTTGTGGGTTGAATAGCCCGAGCAAAAGCCACATGGCCAATGTCCAACCATTTCCTTCATGCCCCCTGGCCTCTTGTTGACCTTGATGCCAGCCACGCCTGGCCTGCAGATAGCGAGTAGCGACCTGAGCAGCGCCGTTTCACATGGGACGTGGTATGGGCATCCCACCGATATCCATGGTGGGTATACCCATCCCTCAATATGTCTATATCCGCCGACCCCAGCCATCAGCAGGGGCAGCGCGTTAAAGGAAAAGCGCTGCTGGCAAACATGTTTGCTAGTGGTGGAACCATCCTTGGGAGCTGCTTCCTTACTTTCAAAGTAGGCATCGAGGGCTGTCTCCCAGAGCCCGGTGAAACCTTCAGCAGGGTAGTGTTCTGGCGTGGTGGGGCCACCTCCTTGCGTGCTTCCGCGGCTCCAAAGCTATTTTTCCACAGCGACGTTAGAGATCGAGGGCTGTCTACCACAAGCCCGGTGAAACTTTCAGCTGGGTAGTGTTCCGGCGTGGCGGAGCCACCTCCTTGGGAGCTGCTTCCTTGGCTCCAAAACATTTTTTCCCGAGAGCGCTTGCGAAGGGTTCTTCGTAAAAAAGAGAGCGCTTGCGAAGGGTTCTTCGTAAAAAAGCAGCCGTTATATACATCTTCACACCTTCACATCTGCTGATCTACATCTTCACGCTCTCACAACTGCTGATCTACATCTTCACACTCTCACATCTGCTGATCTACATCTTCACACCTTCACATCTGCTGATCTACATCTTCACACCCTCACTTCTGCTGATCTACATCTTCACACTCTGACATCTTCTGATCTACATCTTCACACCTTCACATCTGCTGATCTACATCTTCACACCCTCACATTTGCTGATCTACATCTTCACACCTTCACACCTGCTGATCTACATCTTCACACTCTCACATCTGCTGATCTACATCTTCACACCCTCACACCTGCTGATCTACATCGTCACACCTTCACACCTGCTGATCTACATCTTCACACCTTCACATCTGCTGATCTACATCTTCACACCCTCACACCTGCTGATCTACATCGTCACACCCTCACACCTGCTGATCTACATCTTCACACCTTCACGTCTGCTGATCTACATCTTCACACCCTCACATCTGCAGATCTACATCTTCACGCCTTCACATCTTCTCTCGCTCTTCTTTCTATATCTCTCTCTTAAGGCGGGGGCGGTGCCGCCGGAGCGCCACGAAACGCTACCCTTTCGCACGAAATGGACGTTGGACGTCAAAAACTGAGGTAAAATTGCGCTTTAACTTGGTCCATCGCAGCCCTTTCGCACGAAATGGACGTTGGACGTCAAAAACTGAGGTAAAATTGTGATTTTACTTGGCCCATCGCAACCCTTTCTCACGAAATGGACGTTGAACGTCAAAAACTGAAGTAAAAATTGCGATTTCACGGGTCCGGTCTCTGTGTGTGAAAGTGTTTGTGTGTAAAAGTGTCTGTGTGTAAAAGCGTCTGTGTGTAAAGGAGTCTGTGTGTAAAAGTGTCTGTGTGTAAAAGCAACTGTGTGTAAAGGAGTCTGTGTGTAAAAGCTTCTGTGTGTAAAAGCTTCTGTGTTTAAAAGCTTCTGTGTGTAAAAGTGTCTGTGTGTAAAGGAGTCTGTATGTAAAAGTGTCTGTGTGAAAGGGTCTGTGTGTAAAGGAGTCTGTGTGTAAAAGTGTCTGTGTGTAAAAGCGTCTGTGTGTAAAGGAGTCTGTGTGTAAAAGCGTCTGTGTGTAAAAGCGTCTGTGTGCAAAAGCGTCTGTGTGTAAAAGCTTCTGTGTGTCAAAGCTTCTGTGTTTAAAAGCTTCTGTGTGTAAAAGTGTCTGTGTGTAGAAGCCTCTGTGTGTGAAAGCGTCTGTGTGTAAAAGGTTCTGTGTGTAAAAGTGTCTGTGTGTAAAAGCTTCTGTGTTTAAAAGCTTCTGTGTGTAAAAGTGTCTGTGTGTAAAATGGTCTGTGTGTAAAAGCTTCTGTGTGTAAAAGCATCTGTCTGGAAAAGCCTCTGTGTGTAAAAGTCTCTGTGTGTAAAAGCACCTGTGTGTAGAAGCCTCTGTGTGTGAAAGCGTCTGTGTGTAAAAGGTTCTGTGTGTAAAAGTGTCTGTGTGTAAAAGCTTCTGTGTTTAAAAGCTTCTGTGTAAAAGTGTCTGTGTGTAAAATGGTCTGTGTGTAAAAGCTTCTGTGTGTAAAAGCATCTGTCTGGAAAAGCCTCTGTGTGTAAAAGTCTCTGTGTGTAAAAGCACCTGTGTGTAGAAGCCTCTGTGTGTGAAAGCGTCTGTGTGTAAAAGCTTCTGCATGTAAAAAGCGTCTGTGTGTAAAAGTGTCTGTGTGTAAAAGCGTCTGTGTGTAAAAGGGTCTGTGTGTAAAAGCATCTGTGTGTAAAGGCGTCTGCGTGTAAAGCCTCTGTGTGTGAAAGTGTTTGTTTGTAAAAGCGTCTGCGTGTAAAAGCTTCTGTGTGTAAAAGCGTCTGTGTGTAAAGGAGTCTGTGCGTAAAAGCTTCTGCGTGTAAAGCCTTTGTGTGTGAAAGTGTTTGTGTGTAAAAGCGTCTGTGTGTAAAAGCGTCTGTGTGTAAAAGCTTCTGTGTGTAAAAGCGTCTGTGTGTAAAAGCGTTTGTGTGTAAAAGCGTCTGTGTGCAAAAGTCTCTGTGTAAAAGCGTCTGTGTGTAGAAGCGTTTGTGTGTAAAAGCGTCTGTGTGTAAAAGTCTCTGTGTAAAAGCCTCTGTGTGTAAAAGCCTCTGTGTGTGAAAGTGTGTGTGGGTGTGTGTGTGTAAAAGAAAAGCGTGTGTGCGTAAAAGCTTCTGTGGGTGAAAGCGTCCGTCTGTAAAAGTGTCTGTGTGTAGAAGCGTCTGTGTTTAAAATGTCATAAGTATACTCACTAGTGTGTCAAATGTCAGCACACATGTGACAATACTTCACTAGTGAAATGTCTGCAAACGTTTGCACAAAAAAAAGGTCCAATACCATAATGCAGTAAATGACACACGTTATCTCATTTTATTCTGGGAATATCCCACACAATCTATATTAAAAAAAAAAAGCTCGGTACCATGATGCCGTGTATGACACATGTTAATTCATTTTATGATGGAAAATCTCACATAAATGGCCCAAAAAAGCTCGGTACCATGATGCCGTGTATGACACATGTTATTTCATTTTATTATGGAAAATACCACATAAATGGCCCAAAAAAGATCTGTACCATGATGCTGTAAATCACACATGTGACACTTCACTAGTGAAATATCTGCAAACGTTTGCAACAGAGCTCGGTGCCATCATGTGCTTGATGTCAAAAACAGAATGTAAAAGCTTCTGTGTGTAAACGCGTCTGTGTGTAAACGCTTCTGTGTAAAAGCGTCTGTGTGTAAATGCGTCTGTGTGTAAAAGTGTCTGTGTGTAAAAGTGTCTGTATGTAAAAGTGTTTGCGTGTAAAAGTGTCTGCGTGTAAAAGTGTCTGTGTGTAAAAGCGTCTGTGTGTAAAAGCCTATGTGTGTAAAAGCGTCTAGTGTCTGTGTGTAAAACCTTCTGTGTGTAAAAGTTTCTGTGTGTAAAAGCGTCTGTGTGTAAAAGCGCCTGTGTGTAAAAGTCTCTGTATGTAAAAACTCCTGTGTGTAACAGCTTCTGTGCAAAAGCGTCTAAAAAGGTTCTGTGTGAAAAACAATAGGAAGGATACGATGCAAACTAGTACTTGTAATATATTTTCTTGATACTACTTGTCTCGTCTGCCTATAGTATATCTTTAATATATTGTCTTGTAATATAGTGTCTCAATACTAACAACAGAAGACCCTGTTTCTCTACGCTCTCGGGCCATCCGTCGTCTTGTTTCTAGCGGGTTCAGACACCAACATTAGAGATCGAGGGCTGTCTCACAAGTCCGGTCAAACCTTCAGCTGCGTGGCGGAGCCACCTCCTTTCCTTGGCTACTATTTGTCTACCTGTTTCAGAAAGCGACGTTAGAGATCAAGGGCTGTCTTCCAGAGAGCCTGGTGAATCTTCAGCTGGGTGGTGATCCGGTGTGGCGGAGCCACCTCCTTGGGAGCTCCTTCCTTGGCCCCAAATCTTTTGTTCTATAAGGTTAGCGACGTTAGAGATCGAGGGCGGGCTGTCTCCCACAGCTAGGTGTTCCGGTGTGGCGGGGCCACCTTGGGAGCTGCTTCCTTGGCTCCATTTTTTTTCTACCGGGTTCAGACAGCGACGTTAGAGATCGAGGGCTGTCTCCCGCAGAGCCGGATGAAACCTTTAGCTGGGTGGTGTGTTGACACTTTTACGGGGGTCTCCTGAGGACGCCATGCTTCGGGACACGGGGGCGGCAGCCCTTAGCCCTTTAATCCGGGGATGCCTCACTGTGGCGTGGTACCCTGCAGCATATTAGCTACCCGGGGGCGTGCTTCTGCCGCCGACCCCCCCAAAATCCTATTTTGGACTTTTTGGATCTTTTTGGCGGATTTTTGTGCCAAGAGCCAAAACACTTTAATTTACAGTGTTTTTTGTGCCTTGGGCATGGAAGAAATACTTCTTGCAACAGGCTGAAAACTGCGGAAATACAGCGTTTTTGCTAGGCACTAGCCAAGAAACAATGTAAATATCCTGATTTTTGCTACCACAAGCCAAAAAAGAAAGTAAATACCGTGGTATACCGTGGTTTTGTGCTTCCGAGGCGCAAAGCACATCGGTATTTCCGGTGCCGTTTTGTTCCGAGAATTTCAAACAAACGTAAAAACACATAAAACACCACCTATTTGACAATTTTCGGCCACTTTGAGACTGAGAAAAAAGCTGCAGGGGTACTAACAACAACAACAACAACAACAACAACAGCAACAGCAACAGCAACAGCAACAGCAGCAGCAGCAACAGCAACAGCAACAGCAACAACAACAACAACAACAACAACCACAACCACAACAACAGCAGCAGCAGCAACAACAACGACAACGACAACAACAACAACAACAACAACAACCACAACCACAACCACAACCACACCAACAGCAACAGCAACAGCAGCAGCAGCAGCAACAACAACAACAACAACAACAGCAGCAGCAGCAGCAACAGCAACAGCAACAGCAACAGCAACAACAACAACAACAAGAAGAACAAGAACAAGAACAAGCACAAAAATGCGACAAAAATGCGACAAAAATGCGACAAAAAGATGTCCTGTCAGATGGTTACCAGCTGCGGTATGAAAAGAACATCACACTGTGCTCCGCGCCTGCGGGCACGCGCCGAGCACATGAACAACATTAACGCTCACACTACTATACATGACTCCCTTATGGCATCGCCGGTGTGCGAAGCTCTATAATAATCTAACTCTTGACAATGTCATAACTGGGTCTCAAGTCGATCTCAGATGATTGCAAATGACTTGGATCGCCAAGAACATGTGGTGATTTTACCATGCGGTGACCAAAAGCTGGAGCCTTGGATCTGTGACCCCCGACACAGACCAGCAGAGGTAGCAAGAGAAGTCCCACAATGACCTGGAAAAGCACCAGCCAACCAAGGCCAATCATCGTGGTCTGGCAGAGATCCTGGTCGCGCTGGCACTGGTACATGCTGGTACATGCTGGTACACTGGAGCCATTGCATCGCGACAAACCCTTGGTGCAGTCCACGGCTCCTGGCGCACGGCCCTATCATAGTATGGATACACATTCTGCGGAGAGAGGAGCAAGTTGCCTTGGCACGTGTCTCGAAGGATAGGATCCTAACTAACAGTGAAGATTCCGAGAGAAAAAAATCCTTTGCTCATCGAATTTCACCTGGTTGAATAGTTTGAATGTTTGAATCTCAAAGTTCTCAAAATATTTTGAAACCAAATGAGAAATCAACCTATCATCAACCTATCATCAAACTATCATCAAACTATCATCAAACTATCATCAAACTATCATCAAACTATCATATCCTGAGGGTTTTGTGCTGCAACTTCGCCGTTTTGGGCGTTGATATGTCGAGTCTCCAAAGTGCAAAGACGCCTGAGCAGTGGCTGCGCCCTTCTCCAACTCTTCAAGACCCCTCCAAGAACACAAGGCCTCGACCTGGGATCAAGGCGAATTCTTCCCAGAAAAATGTCTTAAATTTTCTCTAAAAATGGTGAACATAACTACATATAACTACAACATAGTGAATTGATGTGAGTTCTCCATTTCAAACTGGGGAAAACCCGATGAGTTTCAAACCCGATGAAGAGATGAAACTCGGTGAAACTTGGCCCAGTGCAAGACCTCTGCAACTTTTCTCTAAGCAGTTCCCTGCCTCCCGACCATAGGCAGTGATGGATGCATTGGCCGAGGACAATTGTTCCGAAGCGTTGCTGAGATCTATCAGCAACCTATTGTCGCCCTCACCTGAATCAACGTTTCCACAAGGAAAGTTGGGGGAATCTGGTCAATCTGCAGAGTTGTTGCTATGAAATGAGCATGTCAGGGGACTGGATTTCCCGCAGCAACTACACTACAAAGTAGATAAAGTGGATCTACTCCAATTTGCTTGTCTTGTTTGCCAAAATGGCATGTAAACAAAATGGTGGCGCCTGTGATGTAGTACTTGCTCAACTGGTATTCTTCGGAATCGTAGCCAGTCAACTTGCCAATGAACGCCAAAGAGTTCGAATCGACATCTGCACCTTCAGCAGATTGGAGCAAAAATCTAGGACTTCCGCTATCCAATGGAGAACAAATTCCAAAAATGTGTTGTGCACTTCTGAAGCCACCGCCTTTCACCGTTTGACTCAGTTTCTGACAGAAGCTACTGGTCACCACCCCAATCTCCAGCTGGACGGCAGCTGCCACAGCGATCACCAGCACCGTTGGAGCCATCAGCAAAGGGCCGAAGCTTCCTTGGGCCAAAGATCAAATCTATCTGAGGTCACTGCAATCCCTATGACATGGGCGAAAAAACAGCCACTTCTGATGGTGTGCCGGGAAATAGGGTACCAGTAACCGAACAGTTGATGGTTATCATGATTTTCCATGATTTTCCCATTTAAATCTTGCCAGTTGAGAGTATACCATGTTTTCAGACACAGCCATGCGTCCTAATATTATCCATATTGTTTGTGACGTACCCCTTATGTATTTCCCATTTCATATTCCCTTCGAATGGTTGTTTTAATCCCCCGGTCCAGTTGCGGAGGCAGCAACCGGCGCAGTGACCTTCGCAGGCTCCATGGCCGCTCTTGCGGTTACAAAAATGGACACCCGCAAAGCTCCGAAAAAAACACCATGGTTTTCCTCATCGAAAATCACGAAATGGGCAAAAAAACTGGGAAACCCAATGCCATAGACCCATCATTCGGAGATGGGTTATACAGGGGCACCTATTTGTGATGATGTTTGGGGATGGGAAAAACAGCATTGGGCTTAATTACCACATTACCCCATTTTGGGGATGGTTTCTGCAGGATGAGTGCCCCATGGTTCTCATCATTTCCCATGCAAAAAGCCACGCCTGTGCAGGAGCAGGAGACCTGTGCACAGGCTATGCAGTTAAAAATGGCGGAAAAAATAAAGTAATTAAGTAGCATTTCATGTAAGTAGGAAAATGATGGGCTTCAGCCAAAGCTGCTGATCATGTCCGACTCTGAAGGCAGCACTGTATCACTAAGTCCTGAGTTCCCAACTGCGAGAATGACCTCGGTGGAAGTGCAGCTGCTACGGATTTTACGCTGCGAATCTGTGGAATTTCTGGATGACATTCGGAGACATCACGAGCAAAATGACGCCAATTATGATGAGCATGTGTCAAATTTAAAGAATGCGTAAGTATGCGTAACTGCTAACCAGCTATCCCGCCATTCTTGCATGTTTCCCAACTGCTGTTGCGAAATTACCACTTTATCAGTCATTATCATGCGTAATCAATCTCAATAATCCGAGCAGTTCCAACTATCGCAACGATCTTTTACCAACCTGAAATCATCAGGTTAAGGGATCGATCTCCTTATTCCCTAAACCTCATTTACGGTGACGTCACCTGAAGTGTCGAGTTATATCATGACCTCCACGGTTCTCAGCGCTTCACCGTGACGCAGCTGAGTAAGACCAAGGTCAGTGGGGCCAACAGCCCCGCAGCCGTGAGCTGGGCCATCTCGAAGGCGTGATCCTGGCTGGTTGATGATTTATAGATGTGTATGTATATATAATTGCCTATATATATATGATTATATATGTATATATGTATATATTATATATATATGATTATATATGTATATATGTATATATTATATATTGTTCTATCAAAATAGCCAACATCCATCTATAGCATATACTGTATTATATTATGACAAATAACGACTGGTGGAGTTGTACTGCATGCTACTGTCTATACTGTCTAGACTCACCATCTGCCAACCATTTTCCAACCGTCTACCGTCTTGATGTGAAAGTCTGCTAGGTCAAACTTGACCCTTGCGCTCCCGAAAAGCGCGTATATATTGGCCTGTTTTAAACTGGGCTACCCCCCAATAAATTCGATGGTTCATCAATGCATCAGCACTTTCCCATATCTTCCCCATCAGTTTTTGGAAAATTTTCAGGATTTTTCAGGTATATCTCCCCATGTAACCCGTGCCAACTATCAACCAACCAGCATCACGCTTCGACCAACTAGCGCCTTGACGCCCTTGACTTTGTCCGGCAGAGGCTGGATGAGATCATCGAAGCCATCCACTGCCTGGTTGAAGATTTCCACCTGGGGGCACAGATTTTCTGCCTGTGCTGCATGGATCTTTTATGATCTTTTGATATTTTTGGTTGGCCCTTCCCATCCACACACGTCTTTATGAAGATGTAACTGTAAACCTGAATCCTTGTGGTACCCAGAACATCAACGTTACAAGGGCCGCAGGCTTCTTTCGGCCTGGTGGGCAATCTTCTTCACTTCCTTCTTGACCTCTAGTTCTCAGGTTGCACAGCTGTGGTTATTGGAGTTTGATACTAGGCAAAACCACACTTGAAAGCAATGACAGAAGATTGCTCAAGGCTGACGGCTACTGAAAGGAGGAACTTGCAGCCGAAGTGCTCGTGATTGAATAATGACAGGGCAAGTCTTGGGGATTCCATTCAAGTTCTTCAGCATAGCATCACCCACCTCCTGCAGAGCCACTGAGAATCAGAAAAAAGGATCCAGAACAAAATCATACCATGTCACTTGTATCACTCGCCTTGCTCTGAGTTTCCATCCCAGCCTTCATCTTTGCACCTTGAGTGGCTGCCTCTGTGACGTTGTCAAAGGCACGCTGAAGCTCTATCTGAGCTGTGCCAAGGGCCTCCAGGGATGAGCCATAGGTACCCTGTAGCGAAGGAGAAACTCTCCACAGGATGTTGGCATGACTCGGCATGACATCATGAGAGCTTTTGCCAACGTGACATCACCGTGATGGCCTTGGAGCCAGTTTCCCAGTAAATGAAAGCTCCAGCCACAACAAGGACCTCATCGCGCCAGCGCAAAGACGTGGCAATGCTCACAGGAAAAAACTGTGATATTATCTCAGAAATTGCTGGAAGACTTGGAGTTCACATTTTTCCGCAGCTTCAACTTGGGTGACTTGGCTCCCTCACCACTGAGATCAAGCCCAGGCAAAAGCTAGGCAAACACCACGGCGCACGGCGGCGGCGATTTTCTCTTCGACAGCAGCAGCCGCTGCAAAGCACAAACAGGGCAAGGAAAAAGCCTCTCCAGCTGACAGGGACCCACAGTCACACGACAGCGGCAACGCTGGCAACGCTAGCTGCAGTGCTGCTGCAATGCTGCTGCAAATCTCAAAACAAAACATCCAGCCTACGCCAAGGATCACAGCAGGAACGGTGCTGCACCTGACAGTTGACGGAACATCCGCTGACATCAAGGAGTAGCTGCAGTAGATTCAAACACACCAGGGCCAATGTCTTGCACCTGATGAAGAAGCTCTTCCAGACTTCTTCGCGGGAATCTGGCGATGGAAACTCCTGTTGAGACGCTGCTTGTCGTACATTGTAGTCTGTCTTTGTTTCGGTAATTGGCCACTTGTTGTCATGGTTGTAAAGTTCTTGTTATATCTTGTTATGGTATGAGCATCTTGGCAAACCATGGGACTTTAGCATGCGCTATTTTCAGACAAACCCATGTTGCTCAGAATCTCCTTGCCCAAGCGTTGCAGTACTTCTACCCACCAAGTCGCCTGGCATCCACTGCAGGACCAAGGAGCAGAGATTCTGAGTGGGGTCACAGGACCAAAGCACTGGGCCATGCCGCCACTATATTGCCATGTCCGCCCAAAACACGTACCAACCAAGCAAACCAAACAAACCAAGCCCAAAAACAAACAAGCAGCTCCAACCTCCCATGGTCGTCGCACGACGGGCGGTAGCGTTGGAAAAGGTTCCAGTACGGCATTTGCAATGCCCGAAGACAACAGGGGCGCCATCGCAAAAGAGGCAAAGTTTCAAATACAGCAAGTGAGCTCGGGCAAAAAATGGCAACCGCAGAAGTTTTGTTCAAGAAGCAAGGGCCTGAGCGAATTCATAGCAACAAAAGGTTCATAGTTTCCAGGCAACTCAGGTATGCTTGGACATCTCGGATAATTTTAGGTGTGAGTTCAATGAGAACACTGCTCACTGGATTTGTCTAAAATCGTTTATCGTCATTTTCTCATCAAAAGACCACCAATGTTTGGGCACATGGTATACCAAATTCTTGGACTAATCATCACTAATCCATATCCATTGTTCATTGACTGAATCGTTATTGTTGGTGGTTACATAAGTTACATCCTACTTTTTATTGTTTCAATCGCCGAAAAGAATATTCGCTCCCTGATCCTCCACGCCCCTCGCGTACTCTTCAGGATTCAGCTGCTGCTGGAACACAGCCTGCGAGGTCTACCCCAAACAATATACAACTTTTGAAAAATTATTGACTAATCCATTAGAATTGAGGTTATTAGCTTTTTTTGAGACGAACCTAAATTTGTTCGTTGATACCCCATTTCTGTCTTGAAGGAATTTCATTCAGGCTTCCGCTTCTCCCATGACATACTGCATGGGTACCTCAAACTTTGCATTCACTGTAGCCGTTCGAAACGAAGTCATCAGCCATCGGTAAAATCCAGTGCAAAATATTGGCCCAAGGATACGGATGGTAGACAGGAGTAGGGCCCGGCTGCTACGGCCCGGCTGCTATGTGGAGTATCCACCTTTGCCGCAACGGCCTCAATCTCTTCTGGGTTGTTGGAGCTCTTTTCTACTCTCCCAACTTCACCATACACCTGGCACTGGGAAACATATGATCTGCATAGGTGCCGATCTGCAAAAGTTGACATATGACATCAGCATGCGGCTTGGGGAACTTTTTGTCACAGGCGTTTCAGGGCCGAATTGGCCACCGATGCCAAATCCTTCAGAACAAGGGGGCATGTTTTCAACAAGTGGTTGAATGTGCAAGAGTTTGGAGGTAAATCCCCAATTAGTAATCAGACACAATTAAACCCAATAATAAATCATCCCAATTTTACCAAAGCAAATGGGATTGCGTGGCAAGTCCTCATCAGGACCATCTCGTAAAGCAATGAGTGTACGTTCCTTGGTTTTTTTGCAGGTGATCGAATCATTTCACCATGAAAGTTGCCATAAATTGGGATATACTGATATACCCCGTTTTTCGGACACGCCTGGTAGCACAGGCATGACAAACTTCTAAACTTCGTTCGTTGTTGCGTGACTATTTTGTTTCCTGCCTAGGCGCTCCATCACTGCCACGCTCAAAGATCAAGCCCAAAAGCTCAACACAGACTTTGCAGAGCTCCGGGTCTGGCCGGCTGATGTGTTGCAACCTGAGTGAAAAAGGCACAGAGCTGGAGAGTTGTTGCGATTGTGGCAAGATCAGGCAATCAACCCCTCACTTCACCCATTCCATCTATCCATGCCTGTGTGCATGGTGCCACGGAGACGAATTGACAACATTTGCTTGATTTACTTCTACCATCTTCTACCATCTTCTACCATCTTCTACCGCTTTTGGGCTGTGCTTTATGGCCTTTATGGCATGAGGAAACTACCATGGACATCATCCAAGTGATTGGTCAGATGGGGAAACGCCATTAGTATGTTTCCTGTGATGCCAGGAGTAGCCCATTTTTCGGAAATGCCATGTATTTCTCTGTGTACTCATAGTCTTCCCGAAACTTTAGGAAACCTCTAAAGAATATTCCAATGTTTTGTTCTATTGATTATTGGCAAAATCTTCCATTGATCGTTGCTATACCCCAATGTGGTAATCCCCACAATAAACCATCCCCAGTTTCACCAAACATGGGTAAAAGGTAGATTTCTTACTGGCTTAGCGGCTTTACCAAATGGGGAAACCTCCAACCTTTTAGAAACGACACTCTTCCCTGCAGCTCAGGCACAGGATGTCTTGCAGCGCGCGGTCTCCACGGAGGGACATTTTTCGTAGCGCCTGGCACGGCGACATCCGATTTCACAGTTTGCCATGGAAGCCATGGCCGGTAGAAATGGATGAAGTCCCTCTCAAAATGGTGATGTTGCATAGCTATGTTAAATTACCAGAGGGTAAGGGACCATCTTAGCCGGACCAAAAAAACGGCTTTCCAGTAGATGTTCCCTTTCTGAGAGTTTGACTCAGGAGAACAACAACTAGCTTGACACGGTTTGACTTGATAGTTTTGCTGTGGAACAGCATGTTGAGATATGTTGAGTATCTGAACAAACATCCACAGTCATGACCAAACTGCTGGCCTGCGCAGCCGCATTGGACACAGAGACATCACTGTCGGCCAAAGCCACTCCAACCGCAGCAGCCGCTTCTGAGATGCCTCGCCTTGACATCACAAGATCAAGAAACATCAACCGGACATCAGAATTCTGTTACAAAAATCCGGCACTCAACAGAACTACAGAGTTTACCTCACAGAGAATCGGATCGAAAATGGGAATCAAACTGGTGTTTTTCACTTAAAAATCGACAGAACATCTTGCAGCGAGGCGGCCCCACCAGTCGAGGCAGGACCAGCAGCACCTCGCAACGAAGTTCCGCTCGCTCGGGCTGAGCTAAAACCAACAGCAGCGCCTGCAATGCCTGCTGCGACGCTTGACCTGGCAACATCACCAGCCGAACCGGACAATGATATCCAATGATGAATGATCATATTATAGCAAATATACATAAATATACTGTGTAAATTTATACATTTTATTACGGCATGAATTTATAATATAGATATACATATAGATATAATATGTATATCCACTTGCTTCAATATTCTGCATGAAGAGATATCCAGATATATCGATTTCATGGAATCAGTCACAGAGGTCCCGCACCTGGCTCGGGCGGCCAAAGGCTGGCAATGGCACGGACGGCTGCCTGCGATACCTCAACGGGCCGCTTCGGCTGGATCTAGGCACCAGCTCAAATTGAAGAACAGCTTAGCTCGTGCATGTCTCCAGATTCAAGTTTCTGAAGTGACAATTGCTATGGGCAATTAACTTTGAAAAAGCATGAAAAAAATGAAAAAACGTTGAAGACTCCACGCTCTTACATTATGTCTATATCAACTTGGTACTTCCCCATGCTTTCTTCCTACCAAGAGCAACAGCAGGGCTCAACTAGCAGCAGTTCATTTTCATGCTGCATCCTTTACGTACACATTTGTTCAAGCAAATCTTAGTTGTCTTATTTTAAGAACAAGCTTCTTCGTCATGTTTGTCTTCGAGTGCTGCAGCCAGTGCTATCATGCCTCTGGCAATTGATTTCAACTTCAACACGGGTCGAGATTTCATTGTTGAGCATGGATGATAAGAGCAATCCAAGCTTCAGGTCACATGAGAATGACTTAATGACTTTATATAATTGCAGTCATTTCAGCTAAAACTGAAAAGCAGCTGCCAACGTTGGAAAACTCAACGCCAGAACGTTCCATCAACCCATGGGCCCATGGCCCAACCTTCACCACCAAAGTCTTCTATCTGCCCCACAAGGTTCACAGCTTCACAGCGTGCCTGATGAGGCCAAGGATGGTCAAGGGAAAGGGAAGGAGCTGAGGTTTGCCAAATGGGTGTGTCAAAAAAATGAGGAAAAAACAATTCCAATGGATAAGAAAATCATGTTCCCCATTTAAATGCATTTCAATTGCCATTTGCGGTATACCTCATTTCCAGACATGCCCAAATGGTACAGTGTGGCTACCATGGTGCTCGAGGACCACCCATCACAAGTCCCTGAAGCAACCTGCCTCTGGCCACTCGCTTCGAGCTGCCTCGGAAGCATGAGACAGAATCCGAATCCCTCCACACGCTGCCAGATGGGCGTGTCCAAAAGGTAGTTTCTGGATAATTGCTATGAAAAATATGGAAAAGAAATTATCAATTATGATCATTCCCCGGATCTTAGGGTGCCTTTGGTGCCCTTTTCTCAGACATGCTGTCGAGCTGCTACTCGCGCCAACTCCAAGACCAGCCCCGGCGATGCGCCGCGCGGCCCGGCACAGCTGCGAAGGGTGTGAGCCGCATGGGTGCGCAACGAGCCTGAGCATCCGGGACCCTTCAGCTGGGGTTTTCCAATGCAGCCTTTCCGGCTCTCACACAAAAGAGACTATGTGACACACATGCAGACACAGTGAAATGCTCACGTCATCTCAAGCCACTAGGATACCTTCTTTTGGACACATGGCAAAAGTCCGAAAGCCAGAATTAAAAGTCTTGTTTTAGCTATGTTTTATGTTTAGCCACTAAAAAACCAGAACTCACCATATTTGACCGAAACCATCAATGACAACGCCCAGTCACAGCTGTACCTCTCGTCGAGCGCCAGAAGGGCCACTCCTCAGTGCAAGGACTACCCCGGGTGGGTGGGCACCCCAGCCATGCGTGTCTTATCATTTAAAAAAAATAACATATTTAGATACTTTAGATCATTTTAGATCTTCAATCTCCTCTTGGCTGCCTTTGTTTCTTCAAGTTTCTTCTTTCAGTTCCTGTTCCTTTGCTTCCACAATGTTCTCCCAAATGATTTTCACCCAGCGGCGAGCTACCTCGAAATCACTTGGGCCGGCGATTGCCTATGCACAACTTGAGGCCAAGGGTGAGGGACAAAAGCTAGCTGCTAGCTGGGAGGGTAAAGGAAGGAGGTGTGGAGAAAGAGCAGTGTGTGAGGAACTAAGGTCATTCCATTATACTGGTCACTTGGTAGGGATTCCCAGTTCCTGGATTCTGATAATCCCTTATCAATTGGGGTAGCAACTCATCAACCAACAGCAATGTGGGTCACAGGTGAGTTTGTTCTGGAACTTCCCAGCCGTTTACATCTCAGGTTGATAGCCCTTTCATCACGGGGCCTGCAGCAAAGCACCGGCCGCCAAACGCCGCTCCCGGCTTCCTTTCCTGTCCTGCACAGATCTGATGCCGATGAGCATGTCTGAAAATGTGTCTGCAAAGTCTCATGGTTCATGAAATCATGATGCCATGTTCCTATTCAAAAATTGCCATTTTAGAGTATCCCCCAACATCAAACGCAATCTGTGACACATCAGTCTTGGAGCAGCGCCTCAAGAATGCCTCTGGCCACAAACCTGAGTTCCGCAGTAGTGGCACCAGACGAGGCTGGTTGTAGCACATCTAATTCTTGAACTGTGGGAACTCAAAGTGTGGATCTGGGATCACACAAAAACTGGGCCTTTTTGGAAGTGTGGCGAGAAAACTGTTGGCAATGCGTTGCATGCTCTCAAAATGTTCCATGCAAAATGTCAGAGATTGTGAGCTTGTACACAACCGAATTCTGTCTCGTGCAAGTCACAAGCTTTGCTCCCTCAAGCAAAGATTATCGCTGCGAGACCAAAAAAGAGAGATTGGCACAGAGAGACGCCCAATGTGGGACTTCCCCATTTTTTTGTGTTCAGAAGGAATAATTGTCCTGTCATGCACTAACACTTCAGGCAGCTGTCTCACTGTGATGTGCCATTGCAGCACCCAGAAGTCTATGGCAGTCTATGGAAGGAAAACGGCACGTGGCTCTGAGACATTGCTCGGCGTTGCGTTCAATTCGACAAAGTTAACGTTGCTGCTGTTGGGGGCCACGGATCCACGCAGCAAAGATTTTGAACGATGTCCATCCGCGTAGCATGCATCGCCAGTCTGGCGCTTGTCCCATCCGCCAAAGCAATGGTTGAATCTCACCTCAGCTGCTCAGCTGCTCAGCTGCTCTGCTGCTCAGCTGCTCAGCTGCCCCAACCAAGGTGATGGACTGGCTACAAAGATAACAATTTTACCAATTTGACTCTTGAACATTTAAGATTTACTGGTGAACATGTTTGAACGCCTCTTTTAGTAGACAATAAGATCCTCCAGCTCACCTGGAGACGGAGATGCTGAAAAAAATGTGTTGTGATCTGATAGTGTCAAATGTTGCAGCCTTCGGCGCGGGTTTGACACATGTTTGTACACCATCATTGGTGCAGTTTTCTACCACAATTCAATTGACGGAGGTGCAAAAATAATAAACACACCCTGCGTGAAAGGCAAAAAATGGAATCTAACTGCAAATTCGAAACAAAACTCTTCAAGTCACAGTATATCCGTTCTCCTCTGTGATCTTGAAGGAGGTATCACCGTTGATCGGGCCAGTCCATGCACCCCAGTAGCCTCCCACAAGTTTCATTGGGTGATCCTTGCCACCAATAATGAGGTTGGCAGATTTCACTGGGTATCGCAGGTTGCTGAACACAAACTTCGTCCAGTAGTAGTCCTCAAGGCTTGGGAACAGACCACGACAGAGGATCAGAGGTTAGTCACAGAGCAAGAAAAAATGGCTGGCCAGCGGCTGGCCGGCTGGCCCAAAAAAGAAACAACAACAACAACAACAACACCAGCAGCAGCAGCAGCAACAGCAACAGCAACAGCAACGCGCTTTTGCTGGGAGGCGCTGCGCCCTTGTGCCCTCCCCCCAATGCCCCCCTCCAGCTGAGATCGAGTGCTAGCACCACCGTCACCATCACCACCACCACCAACAACAACAGCAGCAACTGCAACCGCAACCACAACCAAAGGCCCATTAGCATATCACAACTATCTCGACACTCCTCCAGTTTGTGGATTCAGCATTTCCCACACCCTCGTTTTGCCAGGACTCGTACTGCAAAACACTCACGACAGGACCTTGAGACGCTGTGGCGCATGGAACTTCCTCGTAGCTCACCGGAAAGAATCCTGTCAGGAATTTACTCACAACGCGTCTGTGTGTGTGTGTACATACCATACACTGTATACACATGAAAATCAAGAATCCTCTACAAGCTCCTGTGGACTAAATAGGTTTGCTATATGGCATGAAATATGGCTCCCACTTGTATCAATCTTGCATGCATCTCAACCCCGTCAAGTCAGGAAAGGGCAGCGCAGCGGATTTTTCCTCCGCAAATTGTCCCAAAAGGTTTCATCAGCTCAGCTCATCTCAACATTTATCCTCGCTCATGCATCCACATGTCGACTTGTTGAAATACTGCCGGTAATCCTCCCCCCAGTGGCCCAAGCTGTTTGCCCACACGCTATGCAATGGCAAACTGCACTCCTTCTCGATGACCTTGCTCCAACCCCGCGTGTTGCGGTCCAGGGTATGCTGCGGCCACGGTGTCCAGGCACCCACGAAGTGGCTAGATTGTGTGTTGCCTTTCCATTTGCCACTTCGCGCATAGCCACAAAGGATGGCATGGCAGTCTTCACGAGCTTTCAAAATCTCCACAATTTCTGGTTTGTTGGAGCTGCATGAGTTCATCTCTTTGTTCTCACCAGACCAAGTGACGCATAAGTTCACTTGCTTTCCACTTTTGCCAGTTGCTGACAGCCAGCGACACTGGTAGAAGGTGCCCTCATCCCGCAGCCCCTCTGCATAGTAAGTGCTGCACTTCTCTTCTGCGGTATCTGCTTCATAGCCACATTGTCCATAGGTCACACCATCCCTGGTTGATGCCCCATAGTTGGGCGGACTGGTCCAACCTGCGAAGCTCTTAGCATCGCAGCTGCCCCTCGCATCTGTCCCCTGTGTGGCACGCATGGCATGTCCGGGGAGAAGGTGGAGGCAAAGCATGGCAGACACTGCGAAACGGAACATAACTGCCAAACGACAAAGAAATTGAGCACACAGTAATTGCTGAGGGTCAGGCTTGAGCAAACAAGCCAAACAGCAACTGTCTTCTTTCTCTCCAGCAAGATTTTTGATCACCAGCTATCTAAACATGCCAGGTGAATGGCACATGCGTCAGATATCACCAGAAAAGTGACAAATGGTGGAAGTTCGGCGGATCGTTCGGAGATGGGCACTCAAACGCACTAAACTTTGGCAGGAGAACCACCTGACATCGGAAACTTCCCCGCCTGTGTCATAGTCCGTGATCTTGTTGAAAGCGGTCATGTGGCAGTCGAAGGTAGCCCAACTGCCCGAATCGACAATTTGAACCACTGCACTGCCAGGTCGTCCTCCAGCGATTTTAGGTCAGGAAACGACTGCCTACCTGCAGGTCTTTCCTACATTCCCTGTATCTTGCCAGTGTTGCAAGAAACAGCATCTATGATAATGAATAATGATGGTCGTCGTCATCGTCATCGTCATCATCATCATCATCATCATCACCATCATCATCATCATAGTAATAGTCATCGTAATAACAATAATCATAATAACAACAGTAACAATAACAACTAAAAACAACAATAATTAAAGTAAAAATAACAACACTCAATTGAAGAAAAAAATAGAAATAAATAAGAACAATTGTAAGAATATATGCGAGGGGTCCTAGACCTTGCTCATGGTTTCCCTTGTAGGTCAGTCGATAGCATCTGCCACACACCTGGCAGGAAAGACAGAAGGAAACACCGTTTTCATCTCAAAAGATCAAAATACCAAAAAGAAATCATTCAAACAGCATTATTGGAATCACCTGACCAAGGAGGATCAAGCACAATGATGCTGACATGAGGGCTTCTAAAGCAGCCGATCCGAGCACCCGGAATCAAGGCACATCAAAAGCTGGGGCGCCTCCCCGTTTCCAAAAAGGCCCCGGTTCACAGCGCAGTAATTCTTGGCAGTGATGTAGGGAGTTTGGGCAGTTGCCTGAGCGTGACATGCCCCTGGAACCACATGAACCCAGGGTCCCAAGAATTCTAAAGATCCGCTCCGTTTGTACCAATTGACTGCCAGCTTTCTTCCAGTTGACTGCCAATTGATGCTGGGTGCAGCTAAACGACTGCAGTAAGGCCTCCCATTTTCCGATCTGCAAATTTGCAAGCACTGCCCTCGCTCTTGTAGGCCACCAGGGTATCGTGTGTCGAGGCCCACATGCTCATGCTACCTGACAGGGTTCCGTGCAGCATGGGCCCTATCGAGAGGGCTGTGTGCAGCATGGGCATGTAGTATCTGCAGCATTGCAGCATGTCTGCTATTGTCTGCACAGTTGAATTTTCTTTAAGAAGTCTTTTTTTCAACACGGAATCTAAAGCATCACAAAACCGTCCTGCAGACTGGCCATTTCCAGGCCTTGATACACTTTGGCCCAGGCATGCGACAAGAAGCAGGCTGCAAGCAAAGTGCGAAAAGCCATAAGGCAAGAAAGCAGCCACGCCACGAAGTCAACGAAGTCGTGGTCTTTCGTCAACTCTGAGGGCTTGAGGCAATGGGCTGCGCAATGCAAGCCAGGTCTGTAAATCTAGAATATCCATAGATATCCATAGATATCCATAGATATCCATAGACATCCATAGATATGCTAGGAGCTGCTAGGATGTAGGGACAAATAAAGACTCCAAGTTGACTGGAGTTGCTCAACAAAGATGATATGCGGCTCATAGCTTGTAACGAAATGCAATCGACAATCTCTGAGCCATAGACAAGGCTTCATCCCTGGCATCCCGTCGGCTAACCTGCGTTTTGAACCATGGTTTGTCGCCAGGTCCAACTGACTCAAAGCGGATATACAGATTCGAGGCGGATTCAGTTTCAAATGCGTTTCCAATGTCTGTCTGACTGGTTGTCCACGTACGTCCACGTGACATGAACTCACTGGCTGCTCTGCACTGCCTCTTTCAAAGCCTGGATGGCAGCCAATCTCAACTCCTCCTGCGGCCATCTCACCATCTGCGCAGTTGCGGCTCGTGGTTTGCACATGTTGCGGCTCCATCCACATAAACTATTCCCGCAGTCCTCTGTGTCTTCCAAAGAAACACTCTGAAGAAGACCCCGAACTGCTTGCCAGCCTGAAAGAATTCTGAACATTTTTGATGTTAGTAAAGCAATAATAAACCCACCCATATTTTCATGATTATCCGATAATTTTGATAGTTTGTGCCACCCATTTCATAGGCTCCTGGGGATCCTGAAAAACCATCTGCGCACACACCGAACGGTGCCTGGCCAAGCTGCAGGAAAAGCTGGGACCAAGGCACGCAACGCCTGCACAGCAGCGATGCGAAGTTCGATCTCCACGTCTCCTGAAAGGCAGGCATGGAGATCCTCTGGGAAAAGCACACAATCGATAAGTTCTTGGATTCATTGCATTATATATATGTATATACATACATACATATCTATTTGATTCTATTGATATGGTTACGCAAAAAAAAAATAGAAAAGTCATGTACCACTATTTTTGTATGTTTTACCTTTCTACGGTTTTGGGGGTTCCTATATCCAAAACTTTGCCTCTGATGTAATGAGCAAATCAGTCTGATCTGGAGATGTAGGAGGAGATCCTTCAAATGCGACCCTGCCCCGACACTGCTAGAAGCAATGTCAGACAGTGAAAGTCATCATGAAAATTCAAATTATTTTGCTATGACTTCTTCGTGACTTATTGCGATAAGTGGGGTTCCTTATCATGGGTATAGTAGCCGCTATTAGTGATGGCATGACCATCCCTTCAAAAAAAAACATGTTTGACCATGGCAAACATAACTTTGTCCTGAGGAGTTTGCCGGAGATTGCAGAACCGCGGCAATCATGGGTATCTTGGAATCATCGCCTGCCAGATGGCGTTGTCGCACGCAATCTATCATATATAGATACTATTGTATCTGTTTATTAATTTGTATTAACCCCCAAAAGGTAACCAAAATATTAAACTGTTCTATCTATATCTCTTTCAGGTTTATTCAAATTTGTTGGCTGCAACCCTGACGTTTGCCCGCCACGGAATCGTGGAACGGTGGCTTTTTTGACATGAAAAGCTATGCCGGTGGACTTTCGACATGTATGTGTATTTGATCAATGTTGAAGTAATGTATACATATGTACTATGTATTATTTATTTATATATATATATATATTACATGCATAAATAAATAGATAGATCGATAGATAGATAGATAGATCGATCGATCGATCGATAGGTAGGTAGATAGATAGATAGATAGATAGATAGATAGATGGGTAGATAAGTAGATACGTAGATACGTAGATATCAGGGTGTATATATATATATATAGTTTTTTGTACAATGTCAATCTCAGGTGTAAACTATCTAAAGGAGTCCTAACCAAGGGCTACTGTACCTGAGTCGAACACATGTCATCCTGTAATATCCCATACATAAAAAATGCCGCCGCTAAGGCAGAAAGAAAGCCAACAAGGCACACGACTAGCGGCCGAAAGACGAAAACTGGAGGAAGGCTGCTTAGCAGGTTGCAGAACGGCCAGCGCCCAAAAAAGGGAAATGGCTCACTCAACGGAGATCCGGGCCTCTGACATCACCGAGCACACACCTGCGCAAAACTTGGGCTCGTGTCCAATGAACACTGGGCATGCAGTCCGGGCCATTCACCGCCAGAGATGCTTGGGGCGACCTTGGAAGGCAAAGTCAAGAAGCCTACCGTGACGAGGGTGCCGAGGAATCAATTGCCAAGGCAGCCCGCCGACGAAGAGCAGCGCGGGCCCGGAATGTGCGTACCAACACACAAGCTTCTTGGAAAAACCGGGCCTGGGTAGACGAAGCCTCCTCACCACGACGAAGGGCCACACTACGGGCAATCTGATTCAAGGCTTTCTGCGCCTCGGGTGCCCACGCCCCGGTAGTCTCCACGACCAACGGGAGGAAGTGAATGCCCGAGGAAGCACAGTCAGCCGCAGTGTTCAAATGCTGGCGCTTGACCTCAGTGTAGGCCACGGCGGCGGCAGCTGCACCACCAACCCCGACGCTGAGTAGCCGTGACGGCGAAGTCCACTGCAGTTGGGGCCCCGTTGAAGGCGGGGAGGTACTCGGGTGTTGAAGATGTGTGAAAACCGTGCAATAGGTAGATTTGTATGAAATGGATATCCATCCCTTATGAAGAAAAGTTGATGTTATTTCCCCATTCAACATATTGTTCAGAGGGGGTGGCGGACTTTGATTCCTTATTCAAATTTGTGGAAGGTGTTACACTGGGACGTGAAAGTCAGTGCATATGTGGAACGAAGGTAAAAGCTGCATGGGACGCCGCGCATTCAGGAAGTCAAACAAGTCAATGCAATCAGGTCTAAAACACCATGGGACGCACTATATATAGAAGTGTTATTTTTAGATCCCTGGCAGTGCACTTTTCTATTGCCAAATTTTCCAAATCCCCATCAGGACGCGTGTGCACAGTTATGTCCCACAATCTTAAAAATATATATCCACGGATGTTAAACACCATGTGGACGCTTATCCAAACATGCACATTGATACCTACGCCATTTACTAGAACTTGCGCCAGCCGCATGGCTGGCACACCGCTTACGCCAGACAAAATCTCTTGCTTCTCTGCCCAAAAACCGCGCCTTGCCCAGAAGCAGCAACACAAGCAACAACAACAGCAGCAGCAGCAGCAGACCAAGCAGCAGACCATTGCAAAGCCTTTCCAAAACCTCTCCGGGCTGGGTTTTGACTGGCTGCAATTTTAACGAGGTCCGAACGAGGTGCAAACGAGGTCCAAACGAGGTCCGAAATCAGATTTTGGGAGACTGACCCCCTAAGTCTCCTGACAAACTCTTTGGTAGCCACACGCTTTCGCATTCTTTTCAGAACAGTTAGACTCAAGAGCTTTCAGCGGTGGAGCAGAAGAGGAAACCTAGCCAAGCAGCAGCTGCAGGCAAGAGCAAGGAGAGCAAAGGGACGCAAGCTTGGCAAACAAGTATACAATTGCCACGGCTTTCATCTTTGGGAGTATAGTGGGTAAACCCAAAAAGATATGACAGGTAAGCGTCGTGTGCCTATGCGAAGTGCCAAAAAATACATCAGTAAGTTAAAGTGATAGACGCTGCCCATGCGGGCCTTTCCCCCATAGGCACTTGTTATAACATCGACCCAGTATTCGTCGGTGTTTGTATGAATCTTGCACAACAGGGCGCGCCACAAGTGATGTACAAAACTCCCAAAACACAAGGGAATAGCTACAACCATCTGCATGGTATCCATGAAAAACTCACGATAAACCATCAATTGGAGAAAACACAAACATGATAAACACCAACTGGACGCAACATCGCACCGACTTCCAGAAATTTCTCCCCCACCTAGGACGCACATTTCATTGAAACGCTTTGACTTCCACAACTAGGAGTACTTCATTCAACATATCGTTCAGATTGTCTGTATGAGAAAACACAACAAAAGTGATGTTCTTCTTGGTGTGCGAACGTCCGGGTTGGACGCAAATTGTTTTTCCCCCATCTCTCCATATCTCTCCATCCACGCCTTGCTTGGCAGCGCGGCGCATGGCGTTGATCGTCTCCTCCAAACTCAGCGCTTCGTCCACCGTGCGCTGCCGTTGTGCCAGCTCCGTCAGCAGCTCCGCGGCGAAGCGGGCGCCGGCGACACCGGCGCCGGCAAAGAGGCTGCGGGCCTCGGGTTGTTGGTGGGTTGGTTATGGGGATACAGCCGAAATGGTGGTATAATGAGGATATTAAATGGAGATATAATGGAAATATAATGATATAATGGGGATATATTTGAAATATGAATGGAATACAGGTTACTCCCTTCCTGTGTCGTCAAACATGGCTGGGAAGACCCCGAACTACATGAACATCATACAGGTGGGAAAATCATCGTACTACCGGGAGGGTTCCTCAGCAAGCCATGCTTGAATGCCAGAGGGTAGCTATGTTGTTTTTTTTTTGGGGTAATACTAGTGTCCAAACCATTTTTTGTCGAACCAATCTGACATTTTTTTGCGGGCTTGCTGGGTGAACTAGAGTAAAACCCCAATATACTAAATTTACCTCTTGTTTCCAGGGTTGGACTTTACCAATTTCTATCTTTGCGCTATGATGCTACGCGTTAGTTGGTCAGGATTATACAGTTGTGACATGTTGAGAAATTTTGAGAAATTGGGGTTGGTTTTTGGGTATATACACTACTAAGTACCAGCAGCCTCTGAAAGATAGGAATGGAGGAAAAACACGTTCCAAAGACAAATCCCATTATATGTCCTGTATATACATTATGTATAAATATATATATATGTATGTATATTTACATGTGTATATATATTGTGAGTTTGGCACCGGATCGACAGCAGCCCACCGATTTTCCAAGTAGCGGCACGACCCAAGGGCCCTAAGATCCAAAGGGCAACAGCATTTAACATGTCAAGCTGGGTTTCAAAAGAATGCGACATAAGGTCAAATTGACACTCAACCTGTTCTACGGGTGACGTGTGGCTATACCAAGAAAATGCTGATTTCCAAATTGCGCTGCTGAACTGATCAGCTTAATGTCTTTGCGTTTCGGCTGTGCCTGCTTTTGCGCTCTTGTGTGCAAATTGTCCTTCAGGACTCGCAGCATGAAATCAGGCTTCATGGACTTGGTGAGACAATCCGAAATCATTGTGGATGTCGAAATCCATTCCAGACAGTCTCCTCCGTTCTTCATCGAAGTCACAAATTGTCATGAATGGCAGCATGATGCCCAAGACGCCGACGATGATCTTGCCCTGGACTTGCCGGCTGGGTCCACGATGGGAGGACTACCTCGGGAGGTCCCTGCCTGGACACCCGGTCATTGTTCCTCCCCTGCCCCTGGCCAAGGGCAGGGGGTAAAAACACCTTGAGAAAAATAAGAACAGCTACAGAGCAACAAGCATGTTAAAAAGCCGTGGCACTCACTCCAAAGCGGTTCATTTCACTAGGAGTATGATTTATATACCGAATTATATCCTCATGATATTCCCATTATATCCCCATTTAGCCACTTGAGGAATTGATCTCAGCCACCACCTCCATGCAGGTGCCATCACTGACAGCTGTTCGGCACAGTGGGCAAAGCTGTTGGATCTGAAACGCAGACGCCACACAGAGGGCATGGTAGTTGTGTCCGCATTCCTTGGCGAAGCTTATCTGTCTGCTGCTGAAAACAAAAAAGTCTAAGGTGAAGAAAACAATCATAAAACCCCGGTTGGGGATGGATTATACCGCCCCTTTGTGGGAATATTCGTGGTGATTTATGATTAGGGTTCCGGCAGTATCTTTCTAACATCGGTTCTGCTGTCAAGGCCCAACTGTCCGATGGATGAGAGGCTGAGACAAATTAGGTCAATGGTTTCAATGATCAATCCCTTAACGGGGAACAGGACTTAATGATTTTAATGAATGAACTAGATTGATTTAGACTTCATCGATTTCTGGGATTTCATGATCTCAGAAAGAAATACACTGGGACTGAATGATCAATGGGTTTAACTAGCTTAGTGTCCAGATAAAGTTGCAGTGTGAATTTGGGTCGCGAGTCGCAATCTATTTAATCTATTTAGTTCCAACCACAACGAGTGGCCGGCAGCTGGAAGCACTTGGCTCGGCTAAGTTCACTGAGGCAAACTGCACAAACTTCTTCGCTTCGTTCCCACCTGGTCTCGGCTGATTTCAAGCATTTCCATCTGGGATTGCCATGATTGCCTAATGTGGTTCAAGAAAAATTTCGCACACAACCCACAAATTCTGGTCATTTTCAGCATATCATCTAAGATTTGAGTACTTCGCCAAAACTATCTGCAACTCATCTTCAACCCATGTCCGTGATGAAGACCCAGATGCCTCTCTGGTCGATCCTCAAAAGGCTGGAAGTTGCTCTGAGCAGACAACAGCCGCACTTCCTCTCGCCGCGCAAGACTGGCACCCATGGGCCAAGACTCGGCTTGTCGCCACTACATGTCTGCAGGGTGTCAGGTCACTTCACTGCTACATGACCAAGAGCAAGTTCATTGAAGTAGAATGTGTGTAGAATATAGCCACAAATAGTGAATAGTCACAAATAGTCAAAAATACTGGGAAAAGAACCTGCTACATCTCTGCACAAGTCTGTGTGACCAACAGAAAATGCCTATTGAATCGCAGGGGTTTTAATTGTAGTTCATGCCGCATGGCTCATCTCATCTACATTCGCCGCTGAATGAGCTGCAGGGGGCATGGAGACCATGGAAGTTGCCGAACCAAAGGTAATGACCGCTGAAACCGAAGCCACTCCCACCGCTGAGGTGGAAAAGGACTTGCTAGTGATGACCATCACCACTTGTCATGATTTGTCATGTATCTGCCAAGTATCTGCCAACTCCACAGCATCGAAGAAGTGGTTCTTTCATTTTCTTTCTATCTATATTATCTATTGCTATCCGACACGCATCCAGTCAACCAGTCATCCAGATCGTACCCTCTGGTAATTTAACATAGCTATTGAAAATGCCCATAGAAATAGTGAGTTTTCCCATTAAAAATGGTGATTTTCCAATAGCTATGTTAGTTTACCAGAGGGTAACAAGAAACCACAAGTCCCTCACGACCTCGGAGTCGTGGTCGATGCAAAGCACTGCAGTTCCAACCTGGAAAGGCTTGGCGATGCTTGGCGCTGAGGCTGGGCCTCTGCCTGGAAGTTTAACCGTTTGCTGTGAAAAGTGGACGATTTATGGGTGATTTACTTTACAAATGGTGATTTTCCACAGCAATTTCGAAGTGCTCCTGTTTTTCTGGAAAATGAAAATTTTTCAAGCCACTCTCAGAGGCTCCACCTCTTTGACTTGTCCATGTCAAGCTCTCAGCACCCAGCCGCAAATCTGTCTGCCACTTTCATCGGCAAACAACTTGGGAGGGCCTGGAGAAAATCATCGAGACCCGGGAGACCTGGGAGACCTCCTCTTGACGAAGAGATACGAAGAGTTATCTAAGTTACATTTCTATGGGTTAAAACTTATGGGCCCAATAATGGCCCAATAATCCCTTATTTGGAGGGTGAACATCCATTTACATCCATTTACCAACTATCTTAATGTTCACCATGGGTATCGGGATTTTGACACATAGCCACACGATACAGCTCAAACATGCAATCTTCGCTGCCTGCTCCGTCTGTACCAAATGCCACAGTCGTAGTTCGCTGCCAGCCTTGCAAAAATATTGCAGGTTCTCATGGTGCAAGAAAATGGATTTCTTCAAAACAAGGCGCATAAAAGAAAGGTATTGGGAAAATGATGATCAACCTTTGGATTGATTGACGGATTATTTTTGGGCAAAAACAGTCAAAACATGTCAAAACCAATTATTTCAAAGAGGCTAATGTGGCAGCCTTTGAGGCCTCAAAAAAAAAGTCAATATTGCAATGGCCCCATCGCCTGGTAGGTCACTTGAGTGCGGCCTTGGCTGTCTATCTGAACAGACCTGGCTGCACAACGAAAAACCCCTGTCGAAGTGTCAGCTGCTGTCCCCTTGTCCCTTTCTCCACGGGACAAAAGCACGATTTTCAGCACAAAGGCATCAGCGTACAGTTGTTCCAAAATATCCAAAACATGCACGGCCAGACTGCAAATATTTGACCTTGAAACAACGGGGTGTTGTAATGGATTTTCCATGTCCTTCTTTGCATTTCCCCTCATGGAAAATGTAGTATTGAAGCAACATCACTGGACCACCAGTGCCTCCACCAACGGTTGCTGGCACAATTCGTTCTCGGACAAATCACCTGCCACTTCCTTGCCCTTGAACTCTTGAGGCACAAACTGATGATGCAAAAGCTCAACAAAGCCATCCACATGGAGGTGCACTGCTTGCCAGCACATGTCAAGATTGTTGGAAAGCCGTTGAAATACACAAGGCACTTCATAGGTTTTGCGGATTTGACTGAATTCGTGCCTGTTTTCCCTCGCCACATTCGGCCAGCAGAGCTTTCATCTGCAAGGCACGTAACAACCGACAGCAATCAACTTGAGGCCAAGGGGTAAGGGACGAAAGGTAGCTGCGAAGGTAAAGGGAGAAGAAGGAAGGTTTGGTGAAACAGCGGTGTGTGAGGAATCCGGGGATACATGGCGGAGAGTAAGTTGAGGATAATGCTGATGCTGATTGCAACGATATGGCGACCATGTCCCAGGGGGGATTGGCCCACAGCAAAACGGTCGGTAACGGTGGGACGCTGAGATGCCCTGCCAACATCTATGGCACTGCTGTCAAACTCCACCGAGAGTCCACGCCGTTTCTGCTCCTGGCAGTCAAGGGATGGCAGTTGAACAACAAACCCGCGGCCTTTCGGTCCTGAAGAAGTTCCCAAACCTTGGTGATGAGCTGCTGCGCGGTTCCAGTATCGCTTCTGTAAATCTTTCTGTTGCTTCTCAATTGCAAAGCTCATACCTGTTGGAATGCTGAGAAACTGACTCGCTTCTCGTGCTTGTATGGGGTGTTGTCTACGACCCGTTCGTGTTCCAGATATTTCGCAAAAGGCGTATGCACGGCGACGACTTTTCCTGGTCAGCTTCGCTGCTTAGAACCTTTCATCCCTTTCATACTCAGACAGAAAGAACACGAAAGAACTGGATGATGCTGATTTCTAATCCGATGCTGTTATTGAATTTCATATATTTCATATATTTCATATATTTCATATATGTCATATATGTCATATTGAATTTCATAAAATTTCAAATCTGACCTCGATGAATACAGGGATAGTCGATCGTCGCCGACGATGAATACAGCGCATGCTGAATCGCCTCCAATGGATCAATCTCAACTGATTTTGGGTCCATGGCAAGAAAGCCTTCATGGATATTGCGTTATTGCGTTATATATAATTATATATCCCTTAATCATCCCCTTATATTCTATTTCACTAATATCACTATATAATATCCACTCATCACAATAATATGAACCTGAAATGCTGAAGCGCTTTGCCTCATTGTCGGGTTCGAATGCCCCTGTGGGCCGCGCGTGTAGATAGAGCGATAGACCTCTGGCCTCGAACTGGAAGACCTTGACCCCAACCTCCATCGTTCAGCACAAGAGTACCAAGCTGTGGTCAATCAAAGAAGCTGGAATTCTGTATCACTCTCAATTGATTCACGGGACATTTCCCAGAAAACCAGGGTGTTTACTTTGAAATGTAAAAGATTCAGGTAATGTTTCCTGTAGTCAACTGAACACTTGGAATGCACCAAAGAAGCGCATTGGCAGGTTTCTCCTCACCCCAACCCAGCCTGGAAGCTGGTGGTCAGGGGATGCAAGTGCAAGGTTGGAAAGCCCATCTCCTCCATAGTCCACTTGGCTTCAGGGGCTTCCATAATATGTTGCTATTTTGGCGGACATATCCAACATATTCCAACATTATTCAACCATCGATGACATCCTGACCAGTGGCTGTGTCCTTGGTTCTGAGGCCAGGAAGGAGGTAGTTCGGAAAATGCTCAGAGTGAGCTGGTAGATCTGGATGTTTGAACTCATTGATCCTGTACAGGTGGAAAGGGGCAGAGGGAAGATATGTTGACTGATATGTTGCACCATGCCATCTGCCTATCCCACCGGCCCAAGGTCCTCACTGGGCATTTCTGGATGTCTCTGTACTTGCGAGGAACAGTGCTCTGCACTAAGACTCCCGCTTTCATGTCATACCTTGCTGGTGAGTCACTGGCGGAAGATAATAATGGTTTATGATGGTTTCTGGATGTTTCTAGCCCCAAATATAGAGGCTTCGAAGGATTCAACCTGAAATGTTGCCATCATTGCCATCATCCAATTCTGGGACTGGTCACTCCGCCAAGAAGCTGAAAAGAGCGAGCGCCACGAAACTCATCCCGCTTGATCTCTGCGGGGCTAAGAGCAGGACCTCCCCCATAGGCCTGCTCCATCGCAGATAACAAGCCTGTAGGATCAATGAAAGGGATCCTTGGCTCTAACAGTTCCCTCTAACAGTCTAACAGTTCCCTCTGCAATTGGACATAATGGGACTGAAATGAAACGAATATCAAAAGACTCTCAAGTTTAGTGGCTCAGACAATGCTTTGGCGGACAAAACAGCACTTTCGAAAGACTTACAGACTGCAGCCAAAGTTCAAAGTCATACCACCCCACGGCGTTTTAACCCCATCCATGTCCACTACAAACTTGCGCGGATAGAAGTTGGCCACAGGTGAGTTGGAACCGAAAAGCCATTGATAACACTCCGGCAGCAACGTCTTAGAGCTGTCGGGGAGCACTGCCATGAGCTGTTGGAAGGGCTTAAAGACTTGACCAATCTCCAAGGAGATCTCTGGATGTCCCAACTGGTCATAGTTCGCCAGGTCCACAGCCATCGGCGCATGGTAGAATGGATAGTACCAACTCCAAGAGGCGTGATCCGGTCCACGGAAGTAGTAGCGCATCACCCAATGCAGGCCTTCCAGATATGACTGAAAGAGGCCTCGCTGCTTCCTCGCATCGCCCCGGGGCTTTGAACAGCCACGGTCAAACAAAAATCGAAGTATTGCAACCAGAGACTTGTGGAGAAATTGGAAATAACCGTTTCATGCAATTCCGTGGCAGTGCCCCTGAATTTAAATCAATCCACTCTAGACTCTACATGGACCCTTTTTCCCATTCTTTATCAGGAAACTTTTAGATTTTAGACAGAAGCCTTCAAAGGGGAATGGTCATCAGCGCCTTTTTCTTTGGTTTCAACACCCTCATGTCAAGAAAAAATGACAGTGCCCTCCCCCTGTCAAACATCCATGCCAACAAAAATGTAGGACTGTGTCAAGGTTCTGCGTCCCTTCATACTTTGTCAAGTCCATCCCAAACTTGATGTCATACCACTGGTCACGGGCCAACTCTGAAGTTGCTGGTGGCTCAATGGGCAAATCTGGAGTGTACTCTGAAGGTGTTGGTGCATCAGCCGGACCCACCAAACGCTGCTTGCCAAGAACGAAGTTTTGCTCATCGCAAGCTGCTTGTAAATGGCCATCTTCCAACTCTCCGTATTTCTTGATGAACTTTGCAAACCTCAGGTTACAGGATATCTGACATCTTCAACAAGCTGCGCAATTCACTGGGAGGGAGAAAGCGAGCAAAGGGACTTGTGCAATCTTCCCAAAAAGTTCAGCATTCTAGCAAACCAAAATAGGGCCAAAAAGGAGAAACGAATACTGCCAATTGCCTTTGACTGTCCCACCAATTTGGATGCTCAAATTACAGTGCCACTGCACACTGGCTCCTCTTACGAGACCTCTATCATGCAGGGGTTGGTGGTTTCAACCCTCATGAAATAAATAGTTGAGATTATCATCCCAAATATGGTCAAGAGCGAGAGATGTTTCAAACCCACCAGCCCGATCCAGCCCGTACAGGGGGACAACGGGAAAACTTCCTGGGAACGTCTTCCCAAGGAACTGTTTGAAGTCAACCTCTCCGCAGTTTTTTGTGAGCCATGGGCTGTTGGATGCTGATGCCAAATGGTCCTTGTAAACGCGGAAGAGGTCATCTAAGCCATTCTCTCCGATCTCTGCAAATGGCAAACACGGCAAGAAGTCGTTCCCAACCAAAACACAAAAGAGGATGAAGTCATCAATAATCCGCTCCAGGTTGTACTCGAACTTCACATCATGAGGTTTGAACTCGATGTCCAAATACTCTCCTAGGTATATAGTGAATGTTCAGTGTCTTCACTGTTTCCAATCAGTGAAAAAATGCTACAGCGCTGCTACAGCTGCCAAGATTCTCAGAAGCGAAATGTGCAGGAGCTGAAATCGATCTTTTGCGATCAAAATACGCTGCTCAGTTGTTTTGGTCTCACGCCGACCAAATAAGACCTTGCATTTGCGCTCTGTCTAATGCTCAACGAATCTCTTCGCTTCGCAATCTTGTTCAATGCAACCACAAAAGACTAGATCTGCTCACAGTCACCTTTCCTTCTACCTCTTGACTCTCAAGGTTGCTGCACTGAGTTTCAAGTGAAAAGTATTAAAAAGAGCCAAATATCAAGTAGTGTTGGCGATTCCAGGATCCCAAAAACACTGCCTCCTCTCTGAGCAGGGCAAAGTGAGGCTCATGGGATGCCAGGGACAGCATGATCAAGTCAGCATCCAGTCCGTATAGGCAATGCCTTGCGAAGAACGCTCCTACTCAAGAAAATATACAGCTGTGTGTCACAAACAAACATTGTGTTGGGGCTCTTCCCACCAAAATTTGGGGTGCGACATGGTGTGACCAAGAAAACTGTGGGAGGCTAGGACCAACAACACGTTTCAGGATTTCATGAACAAGAATCATGAAAACAAGAATAGGTCAGTGTTTTATGAAAATGGAGACCCCAAACAATCCCCAATTTGATGATCTGTTTTAGACAGAACATCGTTTGGGTTGAGTCCTCAAACCTTGGACACAGCCATACTGTTTCACTGTTTGGGATAGTGAGACACAGGGACTGGAGTCCTGGAGGTGATTGCTGTCACTTTTCACCGAACGCCCGCCTGGTATTTGGATCATGATCTGGCTGTGCCTGCAAGTTGACTGTCACAAGTTGGACCATATTGGCCATAGCTTAATTCCCGGTCCAAGATGACAGCTGTGTTGAAGAATTCTGAGACTTTCCCACAAGCGCCCTACTGCTACCTCTATGGACTCTATGGTTGCAACATATACGATGAGCGCCTTGGCTTTGCGGATGTAATCCATAATCTTGTGTTCCCCCTCACCAGGTGTCTCTGGACCAGAAAGGACCACTGTAAAGCGCTGCCAGGCTGGATCTTCCTGTCACGTGAAGCACAATGTTTGCATCCTGCTGCATCCAGAAAGCTACACTCATTTATTGAATAAACCAGTAGCATCCAGTAGCTTTGTAGTTTGCAGTTGGTTTTTAATGGGCAGTGAAGTTCAATTTTTCCAAATGTGAAACACTCTTCCCAGTGTCGCTCCTGGATCTTTTTGCAGATAAAAAATCGCAAATGCTCAGTGAGCTTGGCCATAAATTCGGTGCCTCAAAAACAGTCCCAGCTGAATACGCCGGTCATGTTTTGGTGCTGATTTGATGCAGCTCAATCTGAAGAGGTTACTGATTGTGTACATCTAAATAATTGCAGTGTTAGATACAATTCGATAACATCTTGTAGCAGCACATTGTGTGAACACTTGGAAACATGTCAAACTTACTTATCCCAGACCGAGTCTTGCCTGGAGTAATGCAGTTGGAGTCAAAGTGTGGGCCGGAAACCACCTCTCCCATCTCTTGTGCAAGCTCCCTGGCTTCGCGCGCATCATTGGCAGCACGAAAGCGCCGAGAACCTCAGATCTGGCAGGATCTGGATGGCAGGATCCTCTGATTTTTGTGCAATTTCACCAGTATTACCAGGGATTGTCCAAAACTGGGATATGTCATCGGTATATCCCCCACCTGTCTTCCAGATGAAGAACTGCCGTATTTTTTTTTTCTATTCCTCGTATTGCCCATCGTCTAATAACTGATGAGGGTGAAACTGCAAAGGCAGCCAGACTCCAAGTCCGGGACGTTGTTGGTTCATCTTCGCTCTGGGAGCACAGCCATCAATCGCCACGTACAGCATCTTCTTGGGGCGAATGATGTTCACCAACCGGCAAATGTAGCTGAAGGCTTCAACAAACACGTCACTCTCCTCCTTCACACACAGGCCTCCAACATAGGTTCTGAGGAATGAAAGCTTAAATCTTAAGGGCAACAGGCTTACATCAGGCGTCTGTGACCTCCTGCTGCTCAGCCCGCCCAAAAATAGCATGAAACTGACAAAACACTGCAGAGGCATTGGTGCACTAGGCCTCCGGTGTTGTTGTGGGAGCAATTGTGGATGATTCCGTTCATGTCCAAATAAAGATTATCGAAATCAGGAATTTGCTCCGCAGTGATTTTCTCATTGATGAGCGGGTAGCGCTCCTTGGAACCAAAGGATCAAGAAACAAAGCTGTGAGGACCGCAAGGATTGCACCGAAATCCGAAAATAATCCTTGCAATCCAGCGGCTGACAGCCAGCGATAAAACCGTGGAATGCCCATGATGCCAGGTCTGAGCAAGGGCCAAACCAGGTCCCTGCTTTTGCCTGTCTCCTTTATCAGCTAAACCAAGAAGCTGCGCACCACACAGTGGACCCTTCAAATATGGAATGTGAAGCTACTACCACCCCTGCCCAGACATGGTTTGCACAGCATCTAATGGATCTCGCAGAATTCACATTCAAAACACAGCTCAAATTTAAAGTATGAAGAAAGGCAATTTACAGAAACTTTTTGGAAAACTCGTCCGTTGCAAACTCAAACAGAGATCAGAGATCTGCGTGGGCCAAGACCCTGGAGCCCTGGCGATGCGGCTGGGCGCGGCTGGGCCCGGCTGGGCTACCTCCGGCTCTTCCTCCGCCATAGTTTCTGGCCTGGCGCCGATTGTCTGCGGGTTGGAGATCCCATGACCAGGGAGTCGTTCCAACCAAATGTACTATTCCCCCATAACGGCTAAAACTCTTCGCAACTGGCACATGACAGAAGAGTTGAAAAACAATGGTCCGGACATCCCCCTGCAAACAGGGCGATGTTTACCATGTCACATGTGTGTGTGTAGATACATATAATATATATCATATCATATCATATCATGTCATATCATGTCATATCATGTCATATCATGTCATATCATGTCATATCATATATAAATATAAATATATATATATAATATATATATATATATATATGTGCTTGAATACTTTTACAAATATTACACATACACGTATATACATACACAATATCATGCAATCACCTACACATCTATCTAGATAGAATAGAGGGAATGGATAGATAGATAGGTAGATTAGATAGCATTACATTGTCAATTGTCGTGCAAATGAATCCCCAAGCCACTGCTAGGCAGCCTGGTGGAGTCAGAGAAATTTTTGGGCAGCCCGCACCCCCCTGAATTCCTGGAGCCAAGACCAGGCTCTTGTCCTCAGATGTCACCAACCCCTCAACAAATCGAAAATGCTTTCACATCAAGCAGCCTTTGGGCCTTTGGACCTGGCTAGTCTTGATTCCGGCCTTGTGTCAGTCCTTTTAAAAAAAAGTCAGGCTGTTCGACAAGTAGATTCAAGAGAACTTTGGCCAACTCTTGGAGTACACAAATTCACAGTTCGACATGGCCGGATCTTTTTCGGGTTCGGCTTCGGCTCAGGCCAACCATCTCTCCTCAGTCCTGGGAAGTTTGGTCTAGGTTGGACTTCAGAACTTCAGGGAATCCCCATTTTGTGGCCGATTTCATTGGAAAAATGATGGAAAATGCTAACACAGGAAAAGCTTGATAACCGTGATAAACCATTGCATTTTGGGGGGCACAAATCATAAACAAACCTCCATAGCGACAGTGTGACGACAATTTGCGAACAAGGAGAATGTGCGAAATTTCCCGTCCTCTCCGCCGCCAATCTTGCGTGTGTAGATCATCTGCTTGCTGGACCTGGGCACAGCACCAATTCTTTGATCCACTTAACCAGGAGACCTTACACGACGCAAGCCATGTAAAGCTCAAAAGTCAACTGGTCAACGCATTGAAACTAGACTTGAATGAGAAAACTCGATTTCCAGCATGCCAAGGCACTTTTCACCGACATGTGCGATCATGCCCTTCTCCTGGACCCAGGCTTGGCACCAGGGCGGGTCACCACTTCTTTGCACGCTCTCAGACTCATTCTCAAACCCATCTCTTCAGCCAACCTGCCTTCCCTATCTTCTAAAAAGTGACCCCCAGGTTTTTACCCTTTTACATCTATTATACATCTTTTACAGGACATTACAGGACCAACAGTGACCATCGTTACGTCCGATTTCAATCTTACAGGCTCCTCGAGGTGGCGGATGGCTTGTCGGGCCACGGAGCCGTTCACCTTGAGACGCTCACTGACCACGGAGGGCGTAATGAGCCTGGCCTGACCGGTCAGGGAGCCCCCATTGGGATGCTGGGGATGCTGTCCACATCTGTCCACTGACTTTGGAATGACACAAGGAATGACAGAAATAGGAGGGTATATCCCATTAATATCCCATTGAATCACTATAAAATCCCATTAAATCACTATTTCAACCAAAAACCAGACCGACCTTGGGAATCTCCTTCAGCATCTTGTCGTAGGTGGCCTACACTGATGCACAAGACCGACAACATCCGACAACATCCGACAACATCCGACAACATCCGACAACTGCAAACCCCCTGACAGGTATCACCGGCAAACCTTGTCGAACATGACCAGGTTGGCAAGCTTCTCCTTGACCTGTGAATGAAATTAGGCGAGCAATGCCATCCTCTCAGGTCAAGTTCCCACAAAAAGTACACACGAATTTGCTCCCCACACTAGTACCTCCTTAGTTTCAAGAGAACGCGGAGGAGATTCCATCACATTCCATCAGATTCCGTCTTGTGTCGAAATTACAGCAAGTCTTTAGTGAAAAGTTTCAACTGACAAAACAGCCCGGCCTTGCCCTTGGCCCACTTCTTCTTGCGGGACTTACCACCAGCCATGGCGGCCTTCATTTTGGCCTCCTTGGACTTTTGCACCTTGGAAGGTTTATCCATGGCCCAATGTCTCAAGGGTGAACATGTGGAACACCAGCTGCTGAGATCGTAGCAACCTTGTTGGCACCCATGATGTCTTTCCGATGCCCACCCACAACCGCCGAGCCGAAAAACTGGGGCCTAAACGGCAGAGAACATGAGCACACATGAGCACATAAGCCGAAGAACATGCTGGTTCTTGGTTGTCGCCTTGCCAAAGACGCATATTGCCAAACACCTAGGAGGGGACGCATCAAGAGTTTATGAGAAACATACATTGCAGAAATCCAACGCTAACATCTGGCAAACGAATCATGTCTTGCGCAAGTCTGAACTGTAAAGGTTTTCGGATGTTTAGGCTCAGGGCATGTCCAGACCACAAATGGCTCACTGACTGGTCGTTTTTTTTCGTTCCGAACGCAGATGAACAGTGAGTTCTGTGCATCGCAATGTGTTGAACACTTAACAGAACCGACATCAGTCGAGGAAAGAAAGGCTAGGACACTTGTGCCCTGCTCCGACTACAGTGCCGCAAGGCAAAACCGGTACATATCCGTGTGATTCAAGCGTGGACCATTGTCACACCTGGATCAAGTACCAGCTCAAGTTATCTGCAGGAAAAAGCAAGCACATTCCTTTCGGGTTGCCAGCCATGAATCAGATTTCACCACAACATGTGTTTCTCAGTACTGTAATCCCATCACAATATGTCAGAACCGCTTTGTTCTGGGAGCAGCTGACATTTCTCACCAATGCTGATGAAATAAGATCCCAAAGAAACTTCGAGCCCTGGCCGAACCAACGACAAAGCGTCTCCTGCCCTCCATGTCATAGGCATCTTTTTGGAAAAAGAAACATGTGTCCATCCTCTCCTGCCTTGACATCTCAATTATTTGCGAACGCACGCGCAACGATTTAGAGCTCACCTCAATCTACATTGCTGAAGAAATCACACAACATCAATACACGAGTCGAAAAGAACACTGAACCTGGGACAATTTGAAAAGAATGATGCCCAGCTAAGAGGTCCCAAATCCAAGCATGATCTTCATTTGTCATCAAAAAGCAACAAAACCCATCTCCAAAGCCCCAACTTGTCAAAATGGTCTCTCCAAATTATATTAACTTAAGTATATATTTGTAGCCAGTCTTAGTCCATGATACATCACAGAATGCCAATTTATGCAGTATGCGCGAACAAGCGACTGGTAGCTGCGCCGCCCGCAAACGTTCCAGGAGCGGCAGACCCAATTCAAGCCTTCAGAGGGTTTGGAAATCCCATAGAAAGTGTCACAAGAGTGGCATTGCGAGATTGTCAAAATCACCACCAAAATTGCTGGCATTGCGAGAAAGCACTGTATTTCAAAATATGTTTGACGATGATAGTCACGAGTTGATCAAGACTTTCAAAACGTCTCCACAAAGGGAGAAGCGGCATGGATTAGAACCAAGCCTTAAATCCCCTCGGAAAATCGCGGCAAACAGGGCCTCCCAATTCAACAAATGACCAATCCACAACAGCCTGTGTCAATTTCGAGCACCCGACAGAGTCTCAGGGCAAAGCCCGAAAAAAGTAATATCAACAACTGCGTAACGCTGTTGTTTCGACACCAGTCCAACTACCGTGCCTCAAGCATGAATTGATGTTTGTCGAATGAGTTTTTCAATATATGTTAGGTACATGTTCGGTACATGTTTTTCAGCACAGCTTCGCCCAACCTCCATGCATTCGCTATCGAGTTTCCTCGAACAACAAAATACCATCAAAAAGAAATGGTTCGAGAGCACCTAAACGGCTACTCGCTACTCTCGCTGCTCCTTCCGTCTTCAGCATTTCCAAAATCAAAAATGTCTCTCAAAACGTTTGTACCGTTCATGGCTATTCATAACCCACATGCTCATGTGCTCTGTATAAGTTCCACAGGAACAGGTGAACAGCGACCTGTTTGCAGTCAGTCGACAAGCTGGAGCACTTTCTTTTTGGGTGCCGGAGTCCGTAGGCCTCGTTCCAGGATGAACGCTCCAAGTCAAGTGCATGGATAAATCAAGAAATAGTGAGAGGTTCCGCAGCCACTCCAGCTGCAAGTTTCGTCACCGATCTTATGAGCAGCTTCCAACATCTCCGGACAAAAGAAAATCTCAACACAGTACTGCAACAAGGAAATTTGGCAAAGCATGACACTAAATACACTAAGAACTGTAGATCGACTTTTTCCGACACCACCAAAAAAAATGAAAGATCTGACCTCGTCCACCAGCGCTACAGCTTCTCTCAGACTGCCAGTCTTCACCAAGCCAGAAATCAGGACCTTGCCGTGAGACCTTGAACCTGAAAGCCTTGCAAAAGACAGTCCCATGGCAAAAGCTCGAGCACAGCACCTGGTAGGCTTTGCCATCAACCTCGGGCAGGGCACAATTCACCGTGAAGGGGAAACGACAATGAGCCTGACATTCTTCACAAGTTTAAGTTCCCACCAGTGCAATCTCTCCACTTGGTGGTATCATCCCCTTCTACTGGTCACTTGAAGGGAGGCTTCGTCCGATAACACAATGTGTCCATACTAGCTTGCAAAACCCCATTTTCTTTCATCAACCTGCCCTCATGTTTGGGTTAAGTTATATCCCATGATACACCGGGTTTTCGGGATATTTTCGGAGATTTGGAGATTTGTTTTCTCCATTTATCCCATTGTAAGCCCCATATTTCCATCACCTTTCCACCACTCACCACAGAGCCCATCTCAGTTCCTCACTTCATGGCCCAGCTCTTGCATCTCATAGAAAACTGCTACGGCCTGGCTTGGGAAACAAGGTGGGTACGACTCCTAGGACTCCTAGGACCATAGGATTTAATAATTGAAATATTCAAAAATATGGATGTGATGGGAGACGAATGGCGTTCTGGAATACAAAACCCAATTGAAATTCACTAAAATGATATGAACTAATATGATGTTAATTCATAATCATCATCTTATTCTTCTTCATCATGATCTTCATCATCACCATCATCTTCATGTTGATGATGAATTCTTCTCGAAACCGCATGCCTTTTTCTTCCACGCATGGCAGAGGGGGAGCTTGGCCTGCCCAGTCTACCCCCACTGGCTGCCAAGGTCACCTCTTTCGGCGCACCATTGTTGATGCAAGAGAGCATTAGGCTGAACCAAACCTGGTCGGAAAACCAACCACTCGCTCGTCGCAATGGATACGCTGGGTGGTGGACCTATGTGGAAGGCTTGCAGGTGGCCAGGCCTGGCCGTTGGGCTTGAACTTGCCAATCTTTGGCAACGCTTCCACCATCTGGAAGGCCTGACACCACTCCAAAATTTTGAGCACTCGCATGACCCCAACTCAGAGGCAGAGTGGCTGTTTTGCCTTGCAATCCTTTTGCTAGGTCCGTTCCCAATGCTGCGGGCCTTCTCCAATTGCTTTGCGCGTCCATAAGCTTTGACCACAATGCCAAGAGTAAAGTTTGTCCTGCCAAGGATTTCCCATGAGATCTAGCAGGGATGAACAGGCTGAACAGACAAAAATGAAAACTAGACGACCACGCGTGTGACCCTGGTTTCTGAAATCCACATAAAAATCACACCGATAAAACAAAGAAGGCAAAATCCAATTGCAGTTTAGGTGCGGAGGAACGTTGTGCTGGATCATGTCCTCCAATTGAGGTCCAAGCGCTTAGAGAAATCAATTTAAAATCTACACTTTTATGAAAAGGACTCAACATGCTGCCTTGCCCTGAGACAAAACCACTCTTGAAACAGCTAACGACATTGAAAAAGTGTTCATATGGACATTGTCGGGCTGCATCCCAAGCGCTTTTGCATGTTTCAAACAAACAGTCCTTTATCAGCGTCTCCACCAAGTCCAGCTTGCCTTTCTTCGAGCAGGCATCAAGGCAGGTGTTGTACACGACCGCATCATGTTCCACCTTGGAATCCTGAGGGATGGGGCAAAAAGTGCCAAGACAAGGTGAAGCTGCGGAACTCACATCACCAGTCGCCAGGCCTGCATGTTTCGGATGGCTTGCATTGCATTTTGGAAGTCGCCCCTCACGCAATAGGTTTTCACCTCATCAGGTCTGCCAAGGTCTATTAACCGACCCTTGATACTGATACTAGCATGGAATTTATATACACACTCACAACATACATGTATATCTATATGTATATGTATATGTATATATGTATATGTGTATATATGTATATGTATATATATATATGTATATATGTATGTATGTATGTATGTATGTATGTATGTATGTATGTATGTATGTATGTATGTATGTGTGTGTGTGTATGTATGTATGTATGTATGTATGTATGTACGTAGGTATGTATGTATGTATATGTATGTATGTATGTATGTATGTATATATACATATGTCAATTGGATAGCATTGCCCCACCCGGGGCCAGTCACGCAGTTGGCTCCTTTTCTCAGCTGAAAGGGTCCTTCGAATGTCAACCTGTGAATGCACTGCCCAGGGATGAAAGTGGTTCATGCAATTAACATCCCTCTTAAACTCTTAAATTCAAAAATTCCCAAGGGTGTTCATCACCCCCTTCATTGGCATCCGGCCAATGGTAATAAAGATCTCAACACCAGCTGGTCTACTTCAGCTTGCGAACTTCCGTGGAACCAGGATAGTACCCGAAGGAGGGAACAGCCGATTGCTCGTCTGTCATGCGTTCTCCAGCGGCTTTCAGATAATCACTCAAGTCCTTGACTTTGGCAGAAATCTGAGGATTCTTGCGCACCCAGCACAGGTAGTTCAGCATCTCGGTGGAGGTTTTGGCTTCCTGCACCAGCTCGCTGTAGCTGACATTGCGTTTCTCTACCTTCGGCAACGTGCACACTGTGCGACCCCAGGTGGGGAGGTCAGGGATTCCTTCAGGGGCTTTGATTCCCCGAATGATGACCTCTACTCCATTCACCTGGGTATTCTGATCGCTGCCACCAGTCTCATCCAAGTCAGCGATCACTTGGAACTCATCAGGCTCAGAGAGATCATCACCACGGCGCTTCGAAGCATCGCTCATAGACGAGCAGCCAGAAGGGACCATAATCTGACGCAAGGCTTCTTGGAGCACACCTTGCTCACTGAGAGATCTGAGCAGCTGCAAGGCCTCTTCGGGAACAGCTGCGACTTTCATGACTTTGCGAGACATTGCTCTATCCGGTCAAAACTTCACCAAAAACGTGCAAAAAGTGTTGGGCAGATGCAAACCAGAAATGGATTGTGGGACACTGGCTTTGAGAAAAACACTGCGCTTACGCAACAAAATTGTGAATGCAAAACTGAGGATTGTACACTGCATTTCCAGCGATTCACCTACTTTGCAGCCCACGGCAAGATCAACATCTTACACGCAAAGTGAGGCATAGAATCATCTGGGGAATATTTAACCACTTAATCCGCCGACCCCTGCCGTCAGCAGGGGGAGCGCGTCAGAGGAGGCCTTACTAGCAACAAGATGCCAGAAGGGGCGAAGAGTTTGTGCAGAACGAAAGCCGGCTCCAGAAGGACACGAGCAGGGTGGCAGTTGGCAATGTAGAAACGCGGGAAAAGTCAAGGTTTGGAGCTAGTTTCTAGTCGGTTCAGAAAGTGACGTTTGGCAGTCTGGGATACGGGCCGCGGGCCCAATCCGTCCTTCACTGCCATGGTGTTTTAGCCCTGCGACACGTCCTTGGACTCCAGCTTGGACCGAAGCGGTGTAGAACGAAAGCCGGCTCCAGGAGGACACGAGCAGGGTGGCAGTTGGCAGTGCAGAAACGCAGGAAAAGTCAAGGTTTGGAGCTAGTTTCTAGTCGGTTCAGAAAGTGACGTTTGGCAGTCTGGGATACGGGCCGCGGGCCCAATCCATCCTTCACTGCCGTGGTGTTTTAGCCATGCGACACGGTCCTTGGACTCCAGCTTGGACCGAAGCGGTGCAGAACGAAAGCCGGCTCCAGGAGGACACGAGCAGGGTGGCAGTTGGCAATGCAGAAACGCAGGGAAAGTCAAGGTTTGGAGCTAGTTTCTAGTCGGTTCAGAAAGTGACGTTTGGCAGTCTGGGATACGGGCCGCGGGCCCAATCCGTCCTTCACTGCCATGGTGTTTTAGCCCTGCGACACGGTCCTTGGACTCCAGCTTCGACCGAAGCGGTGCAGAACGAAAGCCGGCGCCAGGAGGACACGAGCAGGGTGGCAGTTGGCAGTGCAGAAACGCAGGAAAAGTCAAGGTTTGGAGCTAGTTTCTAGACGGTTCAGAAAGTGACGTTTGGCAGTCTGGGATACGGGCCGCGGGCCCAATCCGTCCTTCACTGCCATGGTGTTTTAGCCCTGCGACACGGTCCTTGGACTCCAGCTGGGACCGAAGCGGTGCAGAACGAAAGCCGGCTCCAGGAGGACACGAGCAGGGTGGCAGTTGGCAGTGCAGAAACGCAGGAAAAGTCAAGGTTTGGAGCTAGTTTCTAGTCGGTTCAGAAAGTGACGTTTGGCAGTCTGGGATACGGGCCGCAGGCCCAATCCGTCCTTCACTGCCATGGTGTTTTAGCCCTGCGACACGTCCTTGGACTCCAGCTTGGACCGAAGCGGTGTAGAACGAAAGCCGGCTACAGGAGGACACGAGCAGGGTGGCAGTTGGCAGTGCAGAAACGTAGGAAAAGTCAAGGTTTGGAGCTAGTTTCTAGTCGGTTCAGAAAGTGACGTTTGGCAGTCTGGGATACGGGCCGCGGGCCTAATCCGTCCTTCACTGCCATGGTGTTTTAACCCTGCGACACGGTCCTTGGACTCCAGCTTAGACCGAAGCGGTGCAGAACGAAAGCCGGCTCCAGGAGGACACGAGCAGGGTGGCAGTTGGCAGTGCAGAAACGCAGGTAAAGTCAAGGTTTGGAGCCGCAGAACGAAAGCCGGCTCCAGGAGGACACGAGCAGGGTTGCAGTTGGCAGTGCAGAAACGCAGGAAAAGTCAAGGTTTGGAGCTAGTTTCTAGTCGGTTCGGAAAGTGACGTTTGGCAGTCTAGGATACGGGCCGCGGGCCCAATCCGTCCTTCACTGCCATGGTGTTTTAGCCCTGCGACACGGTCCTTGGACTCCAGCTTGGACCGAAGCTGTGCAGAACGAAAGCCGGCTCCAGGAGGACACGAGCAGGGTGGCATTTGGCAGTGCAGAAACGCAGGAAAAGTCAAGGTTTGGAGCTAGTTTCTAGTCGGTTCAGAAAGTGACGTTTGGCAGTCTGGGATACGGGCCGCGGGCCCAATCCGTCCTTCACTGCCATGGTGTTTTAGCCCTGCAACACGGTCCTTGGACTCCAGCTTGGACCGAAGCGGTGCAGAACGAAGGCCGGCTCCAGGAGGACACGAGCAGGGTGGCAGTTGGCAGTGCAGAAACGCAGGAAAAGTCAAGGTTTGGAGCTAGTTTCTAGTCGGTTCAGAAAGTGACGGTTGGCAGTCTGGGATACGGGCCGCGGGCCCAATCCGTCCTTCACTGCCATGGTGTTTTAGCCCTGCGACACGGTCCTTGGACTCCAGCTTGGACCGAAGCGGTGCAGAACGAAAGCCGGCTCCAGGAGGGTGGCAGTTGGCAGTGCAGAAACGCAGGAAAAGTCAAGGTTTGGAGCTAGTTTCTAGTCGGTTCAGAAAGTGACGTTTGGCAGTCTGGGATACGGGCCGCGGGCCCAATCCGTCCTTCACTGCCATGGTGTTTTAGCCCTGCGACACGGTCCTTGGACTCCAGCTTGCACCGAAGCGGTGCAGAACGAAAGCCGCCGGCTCCAGGAGGACAGGAGCAGGGTGGCAGTTGGCAGTGCAGAAACGCAGGAAAAGTCAAGGTTTGGAGCTGGTTTCTAGTCGGTTCAGAAAGTGACGTTTGGCAGTCTGGGATACGGGCCGCGGGCCTAATCCGTCCTTCACTGCCATGGTGTTTTAGCCCTGCGACACGGTCCTTGGACTCCAGCTTAGACCGAAGCGGTGCAGAACGAAAGCCGGCGCCAGGAGGACACGAGCAGGGTGGCAGTTGGCAGTGCAGAAACGCAGGTAAAGTCAAGGTTTGGAGCCGCAGAACGAAAGCCGGCTCCAGGAGGACACGAGCAGGGTGGCAGTTGGCAGTGCAGAAACGCAGGAAAAGTCAAGGTTTGGAGCTAGTTTCTAGTCGGTTCAGAAAGTGACGTTTGGCAGTCTGGATACGGGCCGCGGCCCAATCCGTCCTTCACTGCCATGGTGTTTAGCCCTGCGACACGGTCCTGGACTCCAGCTTGGACCGAAGCGGTGCAGAACGAAAGCCGGCTCCAGGAGGACACGAGCAGGGTGGCAGTTGGCAGTGCAGAAACGCAGGAAAAGTCAAGGTTTGGAGCTAGTTTCTAGTCGGTTCAGAAAGTGACGTTTGGCAGTCTGGGATACGGGCCGCGGGCCCAATCCGTCCTTCACTGCCATGGTGTTTTAGCCCTGCGACACGGTCCTTGGACTCCAGCTTGGACCGAAGCGGTGCAGAACGAAAGCCGGCTCCAGGAGGACACGAGCAGGGTGGCAGCAGTGCAGAAACGCAGGAAAAGTCAAGGTTTGGAGCTAGTTTCTAGTCGGTTCAGAAAGTGACGTTTGGCAGTCTGGGATACGGGCCGCGGGCCCAATCCGTCCTTCACTGCCATGGTGTTTTAGCCCTGCGACACGGTCCTTGGACTCCAGCTTGGACCGAAGCGGTGCAGAACGAAGGCCGGCTCCAGGAGGACACGAGCAGGGTGGCAGTTGGCAGTGCAGAAACGCAGGAAAAGTCAAGGTTTGGAGCTAGTTTCTAGTCGGTTCAGAAAGTGACGTTTGGCAGTCTGGGATACGGGCCGCGGGCCCAATCCGTCCTTCACTGCCATGGTGTTTTAGCCCTGCGACACGGTCCTTGGACTCCAGCTTGGACCGAAGCGGTGCAGAACGAAAGCCGGCGCCAGGAGGACACGAGCAGGGTGGCAGTTGGCAGTGCCGAAACGCAGGTAAAGTCAAGGTTTGGAGCTAGTTTCTAGTCGGTTCAGAAAGTAACGTTTGGCACTCTGGGCTACGGGCCGCAGAACGAAAGCCGGCTCCAGGAGGACACGAGCAGGGTGGCAGTTGGCAATGCAGAAACGCAGGAAAAGTCAAGGTTTGGAGCTAGTTTCTAGTCGGTTCAGAAAGTGACGTTTGGCAGTCTGGGATACGGGCCGCGGGCCCAATCCGTCCTTCACTGCCATGGTGTTTTAAAGCCCTGCGACACGGTCCTTGGACTCCAGCTTGGACCGAAGCGGTGCAGAACGAAAGCCGGCTCCAGGAGGACACGAGCAGGGTGGCAGTTGGCAGTGCAGAAACGCAGGAAAAGTCAAGGTTTGGAGCTTATTTCTAGTCGGTTCAGAAAATTACGTTTGGCAGTCTGGGGTCCTTCACTGCCATGGTGTTTTAGCCCTGCGACACGGTCCTTGGACTCCAGCTTGGACCGAAGCGGTGCAGAACGAAAGCCGGCTCCAGGAGGACACGAGCAGGGTGGCAGTTGGCAGCGCAGAAACGCAGGAAAAGTCAAGGTTTGGAGCTAGTTTCTAGTCGGCTCAGAAAGTGACGTTTGGCAGTCTGGGATACGGGCCGCGGGCCCAATCCGTCCTTCACTGCCATGGTGTTTTAGCGCTGCGACACGGTCCTTGGACTCCAGGAGGACACGGCAGGGTGGCAGTTGGCAGTGCAGAAACGCAGGAAAAGTCAAGGTTTGGAGCTAGTTTCTAGTCGGTTCAGAAAGTGACGTTTGGCAGTCTGGGATACGGGCCGCGGGCCCAATCCGTCCTTCACTGCCATGGTGTTTTAGCCCTGCGACACGGTCCTTGGACTCCAGCTTGGACCGAAGCGGGGCAGAACGAAAGCCGGCTCCAGGAGGACACGAGCAGGGTGGCAGTTGGCAATGCAGAAACGCAGGAAAAGTCAAGGTTTGGAGCTAGTTTCTAGTCGGTTCAGAAAGTGACGTTTGGCAGTCTGGGATACGGGCCACGGGCCCAATCCGTCCTTCACTGCCATGGTGTTTAGCCCTGCGACACGGTCCTTGGACTCCAGCTTGGACCGAAGCGGTGCAGAACGAAAGCCGGCTCCAGGAGGACACGAGCAGGGTGGCAGTTGGCAGTGCAGAAACGCAGGAAAAGTCAAGGTTTGGAGCTAGTTTCTAGTCGGTTCAGAAAGTGACGGCAGTCTGGG